CATCCAAATTGGTGCATGAAAACCTTTGGCATAGCTGACAAGTTCATATGAACAATGTATGTGTCTGGTTGTGGCGTGAGGTGAGGCTGAGAAGGTGAAGAAGCACATAAGTTCTAGAGTCAGCTTAGCCATGAAGGTAAATGTAAGTGATTGCTTATTGCTTCACATGAAAAGCTCTGTTTCTAACCAATACTGTTGCCTGGGGTCTTCCATTTCTTATTGCATTCTTAACAAACAAAACCTGCTTATGTGTTTATCTCTAATTTTATATTCCACCACCGCAGTGTTTCAGGCTTTCAGCCCCAAAAACAACCACGTAGTAACTACTTCAATGTTGCATCTTTTGCTTTTAATAGGTGTCGAAAGCACTGTTGCTTACTCATGAGCTATCGGTGAAATCATAATTTCTGCCCAACATGTGGTTGCATGCCATTCTTGACTTTGATTCATCTGACATAACAAACTGTTAATCAGCAGTTTCTCTCTATTCTCGTCCACAATAACCACGAGCTCAACCATTCCAAGTAGGTTCACAGGTTTTCGTGGTACTGACTACTCGCAAAATTGATATTTTAACGGACCTGATTTGAATTCATGCTCTAACTGTATAAATTAAGGAAACCCTCATGGCCTGTTATTATCCCAGTTCAGGTAATTGCAGAATCTATCTTGCGAGATTATAGAAACCGATAAGACATCAAATGTAATTTAGTAATGCATGATGTCCTTTCCACCTAAGCAAGGCATTTGGCAGGAGGACTTTTTCCTGGAAAGTGCTTGGCAGTTTTGCTTTATTGATATGATGATGTGAAGATAAATAAACAATGGACAAAAGATCAGGGAAAGAATGGGATAAAAAGAAATAAAACCAAGAAAGAAAGGTGGCAGAAAAACTAAATTAAATATCTATCACCTTATAATACAATCATGACTGCCCAATAATACATTCAAGGCGATTCTGGGACAAGGCTTGTGGCCACAATTGGGCTTCTCACCACATACTTACCATTGTCATCTACCCATTTAAAGAACCATAAACCACGACCTTTTTCAACAATTTTGGACCCTCCAAACTAAGCTTATTTTTCTTCTCAAACTTTTGCTTGAATACCAATCTCTGAGGCTCCACAAAGACCTTTAAGTCATCCATCCTGTCAGATTTGCAGTGTACTTGCTCCTACCTCTTCAACATTAGTTACTGTCCTCCAAATTCTTGTACAATTTTATCTTCTGGATTTGAATCATAATTGTTAAAGAAACAATAAAAGAGCGGTAGTTCAGATCCAAAGACCGGTTAATGCAATTGTGAGAGGACTTTGTGATGATTTGAATTTGTGTTTGTGTAGTTCATGGCACAAGAAGCTATGTAATCCTCTGCCGTTGCATCGTAGACAGACCGATTAAGAGCCTTGTTGGAGTAATATGACCAGCTCCTATGTCCAGTGGCTTGCTGGCAAATTATCATTTGCAACATCTTCAATAGGACTAAAGTGTTGTCTAATGAATTGGCTGTGGTCACAAGGGCTGACCGAATGGCTGCAGGACTCCAATCAGGGTGCGCTGCCTTTATAAGCAGCTACGCCTGCCACGTGTGGCGTCGCCATGGAGGTGCCTGATAAAGAGATTGAAATTGCTAAACAAGAGATGTGATCCAACCTTAGCAACTGAACTGATTGGAGACCATGATCCTAAGATTAATGAGCCAGGGGCCAAAAGGTCTGGCTTTAGGATACTTGGGCACTCAGAAATGGACCTCTGGAGCTATAGCTATCTACCCTTGGTGCTGGCTTTGTACCAATAACCGTGTTCTGAAATTGAAAGCTTCTGTTGGGTTAATGTTCTTCTTTATGTAGTCTATAATTGATTGGCCATCATGTACCCACAATGCTGCTGAAATGAACTTCGGGTGTAGAGCTCTGAATAAGAAGAGTTGGAGATGAAAACAGCTCCGGAAACTCCTGCAGAGATTCATTTACAACTTGACCGCTATACTCAAATTATCCTTGCACACATAATGGCGTTTTTTACTTTCTTCAATTCTGTCACACTCACATTCGTCCATGTAAACAAGGGGCATTCTACTTGAAGAATAATTCCCAGGATACAAGAATTGAAGTTAATTTTAACACCACTCCCCAGAGTTAAAATTCCTTCAAATTCACGATCTAAGCCTGCACCAACGGTCACTAGCCATGGTGCCCCTTGATTAAACTCCAGTACAAAGGACCATCATTTCCAGACGATGCTACCACAAATATACCTTTCTCCATGGCAGCAAAAGTAGCTACCGCAATTGGATCATTTTCCAAAAGTGTATCATCTAGCCTATGCCCAAAGACAGAGACAAAACATTAACCCCCTTGCAATGCTTGGTCTATTGCTGCTACAACATCAGATGAATAGACCCCATATTTCCAAACACTTTGTACATAGCCAAACGAGCTCGAGGAGCCATGCCTCTAGCGTGCCAGTGGCATAACCAAAATAGATGCACCTTTTACATAGCTACCAGCAGCTATGGAGGAAGTATGTTCCATGTCCACTGACATCCCGGGGAGAGTTCATTGGAATTTTCAACTTCGATGTTAGCAATCAGACCCTTGTTGTAAAACCGAGCCCCAATGAGTTTCTTGTTACACAAGGAAGAGTTGAACTGGGTACCAGCCATGCATTTTTCCTTTCCATCTGGATGGAACTTTTGTCATTCCTTGATCATTAAAACCTGACTCTCTGGCCAAATTCCAGTATCAACTAAACCAATTATGACATCTTCACCATAATTTGAGCCGCCCAGGCACCAGAGAATGAACTCAAGCCAAGAAATTGAGAAGTGTGCGTTGTGTGAACTGTAAGAGGAGTTCCCTAGTGGAAGAAATGTAGCCTGGAAACTTTTTAAGAGCTTCAGCTCAAGCAGTAAGAACTGCGCTAAATCCATGGATAGAATTGTATAAGCATAGATAAATTTAGAATTAAGGATAGTGGTGGTGGTTGCAGTTGCAGCTGAATTAGAAGTCTCTGATATGAGAAAGCATGGACAAATACCAGCTATGGTGGTCAGAGTAAGCTTTAGGCATAGCTGATATGTCCATGTGAATGATGTAATATCAGATCGTGCACAGAGGAGCTAACATAGAAGATTAGAAACAGAACTACTGGTAAAACTTTGACCATCAGAATTGCCATGGTACCAAAACAAAGCCCTTTAGACTCTTAATCAGCTACATATACAATAGTTTTCCCCTTGAGATTTAATTTTAAGAAGAGAGGTTCCTTCACTATAGTGAGCATCATTTATGAATTATTAACCAAAAACTTTCGTTGCTAAAAGCAAGGGTGGTTAGTGTTAGTGGAAACACATCATCATTGTCCATTTTGCTGCTAGAGTCTGGACAAAGGACAGATCCCACAAGCACCTTATCGATTATTAAGAGAAATAAGCACTTTAAAATTTAAAATAGAAGCTCTGTTGATATGTTTTTTATGGTGAGTATATGTGATATGAATTATGTATTTCAAAAAATTGGAAAGGAAGATGGGGAAAAATGCAAAAGGCACTGGTTCCCTTGATTGAAGCAGTAAAGAAAACAAAAACGTGCTGTTGAGTCCGGTTATTGGTGAAAAGTTGTGGTTTCTGCAAGTAACACCAGCATGCTTTCCATTTCCAATTAATGGAACTTGCAAGAAAACAAAAGCTTGTCGATTTTGCACTGGGATTTCCACTACTGGAGTTGTGGCAGGCCCAGTATACGGCTGGACTTGGAAATAATGGGCCGTCCACCCGAGCGCCGTTCCGTTGGATTAAAATGAAAGTAGATATAGATAGCCCAACAAACAAGATATTAGGTATTTCCTACAAGATCTCGTCAAAAAGCTGCACCAAATGTCCTAAGTAGACTTTCTGAAAGTGCAGTTCTTTTGAAAGTCCCTTTGCGTTTTTATAAGTGTAATGAAAGTTTAAAGCCCAAGGGAATCTCTTTTTAAGCAAATATAGTATACTTGTCTATCTTGCAATTGCCAAAAAATTCTAGAATGCTAATAAAAAACCTACTTTCACAATATAAAATGGATCATTATAAAATATTCTTGCTTTTACCACGACTGTGTCAACTAAAGTGGGTATATCATATATGTCACATTGAATATTAAATTACTAACGTTAACCTTTGAATATGCCAATGTTAATCTCAACGTAGAATAGTATTATTATTCTTAATTAACTTTCAAATGTTATCTTTCAATTTCTTTAATCAATTTTAGTATTCATCTTCGTTATTTATTTTTATAATATAATGCAAATTCTTCGCAGAAATGCCTGTCTCTATATCCATTAATAAAACCATATGTATCATCCCATCGTTTGTCCATCAAAATCGCATCATATAATTGTTACTATTGACACAGAAATCGTTTAAAACATGCATGATTGCTTTTGTTGAATTGGTGGACAAATTTTTTCTTTTTTATAATTGGTAATTCGAATCAACTTATGTGTATTTCAATTAATTTTGTGGTCTACTAAACATCCTATAATTCTAATGTTTTAGGAAAGTCACAAATATGATAGATGATCTCAAGATGGTTTGAATCTAAGAAATCAATGAGAAGAGGAAACATTTTTTATCACTAAGCCAATCTCTTAGAGTTTTGGTGGACAAATTTTCATACATAGAAAATGAAATTTCTTTTTATTTCTTCAAATTTCTGCATAATCGCTAGTTAATATGATATTTAATATAATTAAATAACACTCGTGGCCTGCAATTTAATTTGATCATGTAAAACAGGATACAATATAATTTTTTTAATCTTGTAGAATCCTAATTTTATTATATATTATAGCAAAATGTGAGAAACGTTTAAGTCAAATTGATCTCAAAACATCTGAACCGCACATTTCCTTAATATCAGAAATAAAAAATTGAACACGGCCTTGCTGTATTGATACTATTTATAGAATATCTAAATCCAGAAAAACCTTCAACAAATTATTATCTAATTAAGGACCCAAACATCGCCATCGACAACTAGTACACCTAACGAAACCGCGACGCGTTCCCTCTCTTAACAAAATTTCATTGATAACGTTGCCTTTTGAGTTAGTCTCTCATATTCACATTTTCACGCAAACTGAACTGAGTTCAAAAACCAGTTTAAACTGCCCCCCAATAGCTGTCCCTTCTCTCTCCAGATCCTGAAATGAAGGCATGCAAAACATCTTTCTTAACATTCGCAAACTTGCTTGTTTCCTTTTTTTATTGTTTTTATCTGGGAAAATACTTAATCCTAACATGAAACATTGCAGGGAACATTCTTGTTCATCCTCGTTCTCTTCATCTCAGTTGCATGTTCTTCCGGTATCAAGGTAATCATTCCAATTGCTTCTTCTCTGTAAAATGTTTTCCCTTTTTTTTTTTTTTGGTAAATGTCGATTGCTTGAATGATTGTTAATAACGTTTGTGCGAATGTTGAATAGATCGGAGAGACTTGTTCTTCTCAGAATACTTGTGACTCAGGATTATCATGTCAAACATGCCCTGCTAATGGAAACACGAGAAGCAGATGTACCCAGATCCGACCATTAAATCCCACATCGAAGGTCCGTTTCATTTTCTATGTTTAAGTTGTTTTGAGTATTAAATTATTGGATTGATTTTGTTGGTGCATGTGGGTTTGGTTTTGGTTTTGGTTTCGGTTAGGTGAAGGGTTTGGCATTTAACAAATACTCATGGTTGACAACGCATAACTCTTACGCTATTATGGGTACAAAATCGCCGATTGGATCATTTATTATATCTCCTATGAACCAAGAAGATTCTGTCACCAATCAACTTAAGGTAAGACACATGTTTCTCAGCTTTTAAGTTTTGTTGTCAAATATATGCGTAAGCCTCCTTAGTTGTCCTTTGGAAAATAAGCAGTCTGTTGTCTCTTTAGATTAATAAATAAGATTAGAAAGCTGACCAACCGGAATCATTTCACATTTGGATGCAATCTTCTCTATGAACAATTTAATTTTTTTTTTTTTTAGAAGATTTGAAACTTCATTTTAAGTTCATAACATTCAATAACTTTGACTTAATCGGTGGTCGTATTCCACCACATTCTATTTCATGAGAACGTTCTTTTGAGGACTATAAAAATCTACTCTTTTACCATTCCTCTTGTTTAGAATTAGATGGAAAAGTATGCTAATTTTATGAGGAAATTCTCTGTTTTTAGGTAAAACTTTTCTTACATTTTCTTGGCTTTGTTTTCTCTAAATTATATTGCTTCGAATTGAAGCAAAATTGCGTGATAGTGCTAATGCTGCTATGAGGGTGAGACTTAATTGAGTTTTGTTTTTCAAAATTAGATTAAGGTGCAACTTCGTAGTAACTTTCAGCTTAGATTTGTGTTATCTTGTAGAATGGAGTTAGAGGGCTTATGCTGGACATGTATGACTTCAACAATGACGTTTGGTTATGTCACTCAACTGGTGGCAAGTGTATCAACTATACAGCATTTGTAAGTGCATCCCCATAATCTAGTGATGCTTGATTGTTCCTGAAATTTCATATAATTAGAGGTGACTTCCTCTTTTTGATATAAATGGTGTAACAATTCTAATTTCTCTTAGGCACCAGCAACTGATGTACTTAAAGAGATCCAAGTATTTCTAGAAGCAAACCCGTCTGAGATCATTACTATTTTTATCGAGGACTATGTGACATCCTCACAAGGCTTGACAAAGGTTTTCAATGCAGCTGGTCTAAGCAAATACTTGTTTCCTTTGTCAGCAATGCCCAAGAGTGGTGAAGACTGGCCAACAGTGGACGATATGGTTAAGCAGAATCAGCGATTGGTGGTCTTCAGCTCTAAATCAACTAAAGAATCTGAGGGAATAGCTTACCAGTGGAAATATGTGGTAGAAAATCAGTGTGAGTTCTGTTTTAAGAACCTATCAAATTGTGTCTTCATATACATACTGATTTTGGATTCCAAGTTCTAATTCTTTGAAATTTTTGATAAATTTTGAAATGACTAACAGTACTGAAGCAGAACCAAATGTAGAAAAATCTCTTACTAGATTGTATGGCAATTATCTTTTTGTGTTTTCTTTCAGCACTTCCACAAGATTATCGTAACATCTGTGTAGTGGATTTATTAGTTTGAACTAAGTGGCATCTCTGTCTTTGTTATTTTGGCAAACTAAAATTCACGCAGATCAGCACGTTGTACTCTATCTAATTTTGCATTATTTTCCTTGGACATGAAAAGTAGTTTTGACAGTGAGTTGGCATTGCAGATGGAAATGAGGGCATGGTTGCTGGTTCATGTCCAAATAGGGCGGAATCTTCTCCTATGGACACAAAAAATATGTCACTGGTTCTTATGAACTACTTTCCTACCAATCCCAATCTTTCAAGAGCTTGTGTGGACAATTCAGATGCACTAGCCAAGATGATGAACACTTGCTATGAAGCTAGTGCCAAGCGGTGGCCAAACTTCATTTCTGTTGATTATTACCAGGTAGTTAGGCTGTTCTATATTTTATAGAACTGGCTAATAGAGCTGTATTTTCTCCAACCTAGAAATAGAAATGTTAAAAAAAAAAAAAATGGATTGAAGATCTCTGATAAATTTTTTGACTTTTCATTGCAGAGGAGTGATGGTGGAGGAGCCCCAGAAGCCACCGATGAAGCAAATGGTCATCTTACTTGTGGATGTGATAATGTAGCATATTGCAAGGTTTGTTATCAAAATTATTTTGTAGTGTTATCATCCACATTCAACTTATGAATGGACCATTATATCATTTGCTGTGAATTCAAATAGAGCACCTAGTCTGTCATTTTATAGTCAGTTTAAATATTTGCTTGATATCTCCTGCAATCGTAAAATGTTAAGGTATTACATTGCTTTAGATGATTTTTCTTTTTGGTAGGTAAATACAGCAAACATTTTAAATTATTATCAAATATCGGTGAAAAGAATTAAAAATCCTCTTATAGTTAGACTTGACCTGAGATTTGTTGTATATGCGCAGGAAAATGCCACATTTGGTACATGCGACGTCCCAAAACTTGCTCCTCCTCCACCTGCAGCTGCAGCTTCTCAAACTCCTACACAAAGTAGTAATAACAGTGCTTATATGGAGAGTAGACCTGCTTTACAATGGTTGTTCGGGACAGTTATGGCCGCAACTCTATTATTATTGTTGAATCATCAATAAAGGCTTGTGTTATTTCATCTTTATTTTTTTAACTGCGAGGGCATATTAATTATTAACGGATATTTGTATTCTCATTTAGTATGTTATGATTTATAAGTTTTTCATGCGACCTTGCATCCGTGCTAAAGCTTTCCGCACTTAGACTAGCCTATGTATAAAACCATCTTAGAAAACTACCATCTTTATTGTAATTGCTTCTTCAGACTCCAGCCTTCAGCCTGAGGTCCTTAATTTTAATTAATCTAAAGATGAGGTTTGAGAATGATGAACGCTAACTCTAATAAAGTTGCAAATTTTACTAAGGATTACACTACGGCTTATTCTGGTTTATTTTATTCCATATTATGCCAAAAAAAATTCTTCCGCTGTGATTCTGGCCAGTCATGTAGAGACTGAATGTAGTTACCATTTACCAATGTAATTAAAATGTGAAAATGCCTCCTTCTTGAACGCAATTTTTTGCCCATCCATTCAAAGATACTTTCTGGGAGAAACCTCCCAGAAATTTTCTGCATTTCGTAATCTTGTGGCTCCTATAAATGCTTGTCCTTAGGATTACTAAAATTCTACAAAAGTTATTGATCCACCCACATTTACTAGCAGGAGTTTCTTGACCGGATAATGATATGAGTAATGCTAACCTTACTCACACTCTCTACTCACTTCACCTTTGTGTGTTTAACAAAGTTGAGTAAAAGAAGTGAGTAGGGGTTACTCTAATGATATATTGTCCAGCTGGAGGAGGAGAGGTTCAAATCCTGTTTTACCACTTGCACTGGCACACAAAAAACGAAAAGAAAAGAAAAGAAAAATAAAAACCTGGAAGCTTTAAAGATAAACATGGGACCGTTTAAATGGAAGGCTAAGGACGTCAGTTTCAATGAAAATTGAAGATCATGTGCATTTGCCCAACTGGGAGGAAATCCCAGCTGGTAAACATGGGGGCTGTCTGGATAACCCCCTTGTATTTTCATATTAATCCACAGGTGTTAAATCTCTAGGCCTGGAATTTCCAAGAGTACAGTTACCAATTCATTTTTGAAGTTTGAAGCATCCCATGTTCTTGGGCATTAAACCTTGGGCCACTTTCTGCTGAGCTGCTTCTAACTTTCTCAAACAATCATAATTTGGCTATGGGGCAGTTGAACAATGGTTCAGGCGGGTCATCACTCTTAACACAGTTTCAGTTTCACTTTTTCAAAGGTGAAGGAAATAAATGTCGAATTGAATGTTTTAATTATAACAGTACATCGAAGAACAACACGCCCAATGATCCAAAGGCACGCATCAAAAGGAAAAAGGGAAAGCTTTAATTATTTACGTCAACATAAGAAACGCAAGTAAAAGGAAACCTTGCCTTGACTTTTAACTCTGAAAGGACTTAAAAACACTTAAAAATCATCGATAGCGGGGACCATGTTTTTTGCAACACAAGAAGGGAACATCCCTATCTGCCTTGGGTTATAAAAGACTGGTCTAACAAGCCATGTTACTATAGGGACCCCAATTAATTGATAAACTTCTCCCACTCTGACCAACTAATGTAGTCTGATTAATTCGAGGAACTTCAAGTGTGAAATTTTGCTTCATCATACATGTTGAATGCTTTGAAATTGAAATACTTCCATATATATCTCTTTATATTTGTAATATTCTGTAATCAAAGGAACATTAAAGTTGCAGTATAAGCAAATCTAACAATCATCCAAAATTTAACTTATATGGAAAAAAAATTATTTAACAATGTAAATAAATATCTGATTACGGAGGCCTCCAGCACAAAGTTTATCTGAAAAAAGGATTGATTACAGTCTTTGAATTGAATCTTATAGCGGAGCTAAATCAAATGTGATTGCAGAAGCAAAAATAATATAGAGCACCATAAGTGAAAGTCACAAAAGTAGATAAAGCTTATAAGTGGACAGTACATAATATTGAATCCACTCCTGACGTTGTCGGTAACTTTTCAAAGATTTTCTTCTTGGATTTCTTCATGTTGGCATCTTTCCTCATTGGCATGCACCCCACTTTCGTACCTTTTGTCGCCACCTGGTTCCGTCCCCTGCTTCTTAATTAACCCATTTTTTGGACTGTCACGAAGTGGTCCTCCTGTGTCCCTTGCACCTCTACGATCCTGGAACCAATTGCTTAGGCTAAAGCATCAAAGGGTAAATTTTGAAATTTTATATTTTATATCTAACAATAAGGGACAAATTGATTCTCTTCATCATTTTTCTGGAGAGTTGAAGGTGAAGGGGGAAGGCCGGAAATTTCATGAGTTTGAATGCATAAATGAACTACAGCTGGATTACAAATAGTTAATAAGCCCATATGTTTTAACAAAAAAGAAATCCTGTTGGTTCTGAACATCATAAACTATTTTATACTGTACTAGTGAAACTAAATAAGCTTGTAAGCAGAACTAGATACATACATCTTTCAAGAGGGTCTCTTGAGCTTCAAGCATATGTACCACATGGCCCATTTTGGGTCGCTTCGTTGCATTTGGGTCTACACAACGTAAAGCTACAAGCAGAGCCCGTTTTAAAGACCTGGAATTAGGCTTCTCTGGTAGCTTGGGATCCAGCACTCCCTCCGGATTCCTGTTAGAAACCATCTTCTTAAGCCACTCAACTAAGTTAACCTGCAAAATTCTTGAATATAAATTTAACTCAACGGAGCAAATATAGAGGGAAGAAACCTTTAAGGACAGTCCAGATGAATCACTCAGAAAATGATGTTAAGAATTTAGAGCAAACCTCTTCTGGAGGCCGGCTATAATCAACTGGGTTCCTCCCAGAAATTACTTCCATAATAAGAATCCCGAAACTATACACATCACTTCGTTCATTCAACATACCTGTACTTGCATATTCAGGAGCCACATAACTGCAAAAGCCCAAAAATGTTAAAATCTCTTTTGTAGACACAACCAAAGGCAGAGACAGGAAAATTCTACAGACCCAAATGTTCCCATTACACGGGTTGTGATGTAACTGCTCTCTGAACCTAGGAGCTTGGCAAGGCCGAAGTCTGAAACCTTGGAATTCCATTGCTTGTCAAGTAAAATATTGCTTGATTTTATATCACGGTGAACAACTTTGGGCTCAAGTCCCTCATGTAGATAACTTAACCTGAATAAATAGTCGAGTTAAGACCATGGACTATGACATAGATGAGAGGCAGGAGTTGGAAAATCAAATTGGATTAATAAAAAGCTGAAATGAAACTGTAAATTTACACTATACCCTTTTGCTGTACCCAGGATAATATTCATCCGAATCTCCCAAGTAAGAGGACTGCAAGACCCTACATCCCCGTGAAGCCATTGTTCCAAGTTTCCATTATTCACATACTCATATACAAGCATCCTTATCACAAAAAAAAAAAAAACACAAAAAGTAATCATCAGTGATATTCATACATATGTGCACCACTTTAATAAAATTAATATACCCCATATTATTTGAACACTTGTAAACTGTAGTGTGCACTGTGCACAACTATAAGACTTAAACTTCAAATATAAACAGCAAGGCAAATTAGGTAAAAGCAGAGTACCTATGAGCTCCCTCAGCACAATAGCCGAGCAATCTCACTAAATTCTTATGCCGAACTCTTCCAATTGCTTCCACTTCAACTTTAAACTCCCTCTCAGCTTGTCCCCTATTCGTTGTCAGACACAGCAACTAATCATTTGCTCTAACATTAATATTAATGGATTTGATAAGTTTTGTATTAGTTACTCTTCAAATTTAAGCAACCATACCACACCAAATTCCAAAGACAGTAACGCAAACTCAAAAGTAACAAGAAATAAATGACTGAAAGTTGCAATTGCAAACCTGTTATTGAGCAAATTTTTAACAGCTACCTGATTGTTATCCTCCAAAAGACCATAATAAACAATCCCATACCCACCTTCACCAATAACATTTTCATGAGCAAAATAATTTGTTGAAACCTCAAGCTCTCTCAAAGTATACCAATGACCCCAACCCAAGTGCGACACCTCAGGCACCACCGCAGCCACTTGGTCAGCACCACCACCACCACCTGAACGTGCCTCGCCACTCCCATTCCCAGGATAACATATTCTATGATCTTTACCGATCTCAACGTGAATCTTATGATATCCAGTAGGGCTCTCTTCTTCTCGAGGGAGAAGCAAGGCCTGCCCTTCTATGCCGGTGATGGGATCGGGCTCTGGATGAGGATGAGATTGAACTCTGACTTCTTGGATGTCTTTAGAGATGATAGGTATTGTATTATTAGTAGGGTCCTTTGAAAAAGATTTATTATGTTTGATTTTGGAACGTTTCGAAGTGAGCCAAAGAGAGATGAGGAAGAGAAGCAGCACAAATGCTGCTCCTACACATACACCGACAACTATCCATAAACGAAGACCAAAGATTGAACTTGGCCTTGATAGTTGGTCACTCATCAAACCCAAACCTTTCTTTCTTTCTTCTTTGTGATGAAACTTAACCAAAAAGTTGATGATTTATGTTAATTTGGGAAAGAATTAATGTGGAGACATTATCATGTTATAGAGAGAGTAAAGGGAGCGACTAAGAGCTGGCATGATGAAATGAGATGAGACTTTTATGTCGGGTATATTAAAGTTAGAAAACTACGCGGGTAACCGTGGCAGTACCAGAAGCAGTTCACTACACTTCACTTCATCCTGTATTTTGGAGAGTATTAAAGTAATTAAAGGTAAAGAATTTATACAGTAAAATCTCCCAATATTCATAATGACGAAGAAACTAATTAATTTTATTATCATAAATAAGTTATTATTTAATAGTGATGTAGTTACAAATTTTTTTATTTTATAATTTATGTTTTAATAATACAATATTAAGATTTAAATTCATGTTTTAATAGTATTATGATTTCAAATTCAGCGCTTCAATTGTCTACTTTTAAAACGAATAGAAGATCATGTCTTAGAACTAACAAATATAAGTGTTCTTGATAGAATTGTAAATACAGTTATGTATGGTCAATTGATGTGAAGCCACAAACAATTATCAATTATTTTAAACATTGCAAGATTAGGACTCCCGATGTCGATGAATTACAAGTTACAAATTAAGTTGAGGAGGAGAATCAAAAAGTCCTAGTAGAATTGAGTGATTATATTCGACAACTTCACTACACTAATCGAATGGATATTAGTATATTTCTCAATCATCCAAATGAACAACAAGTCATATATGTTTTATTTGGAGAAGAAATCATTGTTACAATTAGACAATAATTGAAAGGAAATAATTATGAATATGATAGCACGGAGATACAAAAAACAATTTATGCCAAGAAGCTCTAAACATACTTGAGACGCTAGAAATATTATGGCTTCAACAAGAAGATGTCTATGCTAGCGAGTAATATACTCGTAAGTTAAAAAATGTGGTATCAACTTTAAAGCATAAATCATTGTCCCAAACAATTTTAGATAAATATTTTGTCTCATCTTAAAACTTTAATGTAACATAACATATATTTTTTTACAATATACAGATAGTTATTACTATGTGGAGGCAACTTTCCTTAAGATGAGAATTAGAAAAATTATAACTTATTACAACGAGGAGTTTATTCTTATTTATAACTATCCAAAAATGGGAATACAATTTTTTATAATTACATAGAGTTTATTCCTATATGGAGTATCACTATAGAGAGGTTATACTGTAATTGGATACAGTGGAACCTGACTCCTTTTCATAAACAACTTTGACTTTTGACCAATTGTAGATGCAGAATGATAAAATCAGATAATGTTAATTAAAAATATTATAATACATTAATACAGAAATCTACACCAACTAGAGTGATCCGATCGACCTTGGCGGGATCAAAACTGGTGTGTGTGTGTGTGTGTATAATTACAGATAATCAACAATGAGAAAGTGATGAATGTCAAAAGTAAATGACAATAAGATTTTTAAAGTGGTTTGACGAGATAGAACTTAAGCCTACGTCTACTGTTATTTTATTGTTTTTGAAAGCTTACAAATAATAGTATGATTCATTTGAAATTTTGCTTGGAACAACTGCCCCGCTCCTGAAAACAAGTTGTGACGAGTTTATACAGCATTCATTTACATGATAGAGTTGAGATAAGATTCAAATAAGTAAAATTAAGAAGTTGCATGATCTTCGGCTACTTTAGTTGGAGTCTAAGTCCATCTGAATATCTTTCTTCAAAATTGAATCAATCTAAATAATTTATTTCTTAATAGAGAATTATCTTCTATGGATTGATCGTATAACATATTAATTACCTAAATAATAAGAAAATAGATGTTTGGTATCGTGTTTTTGTGGATAAAAATGCTTTCATATCTTTAAAAACAGTTTCTTATGATAATAAAGTACTAAAAATGTTTTTCATACAAGCAGTTAAGTACTTGTTTAACTTACGACATAAGCAGGAATCATTCAATTAAATCCCTTTTAATTTGAGTAATTCACTCCATCCTATATAGTATATAGTATGATGAAGAGGATTAATGTCTATAACAACTATTGTACTACATAATTCAAATTTCAAATATGCCAAAAACAAGACTACGGCATCTTATTAATTACTAACAAGCAGTAGTAGGGTGTCGGACGATTTAAACTTTGGTTTATTTACTACTTATAAATACACCAACCTTGAAGAGATGGTATAACTCAGAAAAGACTTATGGCTACGTGGGTGTCAAAAATATGAATCTTGTGTTTGAGCAATAAATTTGATTCCACAAAGCAATGGTTGAACATTGAAAGAATTCGATGAAATTATTTGCTTGGTAGTTGTTGTCAAGCAAGTATTAAAAATAGCAGTGGGGTCTGGGGTGGTTAGATTTTGGATTTGTTTAGTTGTTCCACATCCCATCATTAATGTGCCAATATCTATCATACTATATCATATAAGTTGTTAAATTTTGGAGTTATTGCATTGCATTATTCTTATTCACGGAATGACTTGAGTACTAATAATCATAATAATGTTTGTTACTTATTAAACTGCATTGACAATGTTCATACATTATTTTATGTTTTATTCAATTCTAAATGTATTTATAAATTAATTGATGTTGTGCACTCACTGCAATAAACATGGTCATACCAAAAATTAATGTTTTGAATTGATTGGATATCTTGTGATAAAAAAAAAAAAAACAATTCAAATAAAAGTTTTATTGATGCTGTTATGAAAAATGATTCTTATTGATAGTTTCAGGGTCTCGAGGAATTGGTTGAGATGCGTATAAGGTTCATATATATATAAAAAAGTATTGAAATTATATTTTTTTTGAAATCAAACCTTATCTTATCTTGTATTTACTTGATGTATATTCTATTTGTTTGACAATTCTTGAATTAGCAAGTAATTGATTATAAGATTCCCATCATTAAAGAAAAAGAAGTAATAAAGAGAAGATTATTGTCGGCTCAGTCCTCACTTTTGTGTTAGTTACGCATTAAATTGGAACCATACTGTCTTCGCACCATGCCTCTTTTATCACCGTCAAATTAAAATTTAATTGTTTATTTATTTATCGAATTAACATAACTTTTTATTGTTTCCTTCATAATATAACTTTAAATAAATAAAAATTATATTTTTTTGGAAAAATATTACTAAACACTTTGTAAATAAATGAAAATGGAAGACATTAACCCCAAGAGATTGACCTAATGATCAAGAAGGTTTGTTTATTTTCTTAAATTTTTTGATTCGAATCTCGAGGTTATCTACCACCATAACATTGTAATTTATTTGATTATTTGAGTTTGTAGAGTATTCATTGGATCCCAAGGATTAGTTAAGGTGTGAATTTCGAGGATTACTTGAGATACACATAAATCAGTTAAAAAAAATAACACTATGGTAACACAAATTTAATTATAGTTTAAAAATTATTTAAATTAACATTAAAAATAAATTCTAATNGGTCGATTCCGGCGGTGAAAATCCAATTGGACACCACCAATGAAACCACCGTATCCAGATCTATAAAATCCCCATGTCCCCAGCAGTCGTCTCGTCGTCATTCGCCGGCCGAGAGTTCGTGTTCTTCGGCCGTTTTTCGATGAAGCGGTGGACGGCAAACGGTGAGCTGCCGTGGCTGGAAACGTTAGGGGTTTTGTAGGGGAGGATTGAAGGAGTCAAATGGTGGTGACAAGGGTGATTTTGGGTGGAAAAATCGTCGGAAAAAGAGCAAAAAAGTTTACCGGCGATGGTCTGCTAACGTGCGCCGGAGGACTGTTACAGGTGGTGGTCTGCTAACGTGCGCCGCCCATGTAAAATGACCAATTTACTCCTTTACCGTTATATCAAACGTTTTTTCGTCACTTTAAGGGTGGGAATCTGGAATAAATGGAACCTGTGGTACTCACTTGAGATTTCGTCAAACCCTGGGTGGCAATATGTCGTTTACTCTTTATTTATTTATGAATTAACATAACTTTTTATTGTTTCCTTCATAACATAACTTTAAATAAATAAAAATTATATATTTTTTTGGAAAAATATTACTAAACACTTTGTAAATAAATGAAAACGGATGACATTAGCCCCAAGGGATTGGCCTAATAATCAAGTAAGTTTGGTTATTTTTTTGAGTTTTTTGGTTCAAACCTTAGGGTTATTCATCACAATAACATTGTAACTTATTTGATTATTTGGGTTTGTAGAGTATTCATTAGATCCTAAGGATTAGTTGAGATATGAATTTCGAGGATTACTTTAGATACGCACAAATTGGTTAAAAAAAATAACACTATGGTAACACAAATTTAATTATAGTTTAAAAGTTATTTAAATTAACATTTAAAATAAACTCTAATTTCTTGTCCAACTTTATTGGTCCAATTGTCATTTAGGGAAACCTTATTGCAAACTGTAATAACCCCTCATGAAACATTAAATACATCAAATAAAATGTACAAAAAAAGTATATTTTAATAAATATTTATTTCGCATATAAAATTAGTGTTCTAAATTAAAATCACCATTAATATATTCAAACAACTAAAATTTTGTTTGGGGAAGGACATAACTTTTATGTGGATATTTGTCGTACCCGACCCGCTCAAATAAGTTAAAAAAGACAAAACATGATGGACGTCAGAAATAAATCTTAAGGGAATGCCAATGCTTTCATTTTCTTGCCATCCCAAATGCCCATGTGCTCCTGCATTAATTGTAGGTTAATACGATAAAAAAATTATTATTTTCTTTTGATTAGTATAGAGTAAGCGACTTTCTTCACCCAAATAATTGCTTAATAACATTTTTTCACCCATAAATTTTTAGAATACTATTTTATTATCAAAATAATGATGAAAGTATACTCACTTACCGATTCCGGTAGCGTTACTATCCCACACTACTACCATTCTTCTCTAATCATCACTCATCAAAACCTCTTAAACCTTACTTCTATCGACCTCGTTAATCGCTGATAATTGAGTAATTAAGGTTTGTGTAACTGCCCATCCTAACTCTCAAGTCAAATTCCGATCAATCGTGACCACTAAAATCCAACCTACCATCACCAAAAGATTCATCGATCCTCCCTCTTCAAAATCCCTAACAATCTAAACCAACTTTGCTTTCCGTTTGTTGCCGAATATTCTCATTAGTAAACGGAATACAAATTTAGATAATAAAATAATATTTTAAAAATATGTGGATGAGAATGTGTCATTAATACATTATTTGGGTGGGAAAAAGTCGTTAATTTGTTAATATACTATTGACACTTAATCAATCATAACCGCTGAGATCTCAACTTTGTATGTGCAAAGTTATTATATTTTTTAAAGACAAATGATAATATATGGGTGTGGTATTTTATGAATTCCGTGAAAGTTTTATGTTTTATTTGATAAATCGAAAATGATTGGAAGATGTTAACAACTAAAAGGCGTTTGGCATGGTTGTTTGCAAAGGATATTTTAAAAACATAAAAATGAAAAATACGACCTCTTCAAATTACTATTATTTATCTGTCTCAAAGAAATTGTTTTAAATATATCATTATTTTATTCTCATTTGCAATTTTGTTATAAAATATTGATTTTAAATTAAGTTTTTTATATTTTTGGCTGGATGTTTTCTCTCTCTTTACTCTTAAATTCTTTATTTTGTGAAAATAAAAACATAAAACTTATATACAAACACTTATCACAAATTTTAAGAGGGAAAAATAATGAAAAACAGGAACGATGTTATTATTATATAGAATAATACTACACATACATCATTTTCATACAACATTTCTCGTACAATATTATGTGACAAGATGTGATTGGGTGAAAGTTTAATTTTAACTATAAATTAACCAATCATATCTTGTCATATAATATTGCATGAGAAATATTGTATGAAAATGATATAGGTATAGTATTACTCTATTATATATTAATAAGGCCTATGTTTCTTAATTTTGTCGAAAACAAAATTTATGTACTAATAACAACACACATTTTACAAAGGAAAAATTTAGAAAACCTTAGACAAATATCCAACATCCTTAAAAATTTTGGACTCATTTGATATAAATTTAAATATATTATTTTTTAAAATAATAAATATAGCAAATCTTCTAAAAATATGTTGTTAAAATAAGTTTAGTTAATTATGAAAACGGTTTTTAAATACAATCTTAAAAGTTAGTGTAAATTTAAAAGACAATTAATAATTGTCTTCACAAATTAAGATTTGAAGACTATTTTTAAATATGGTACTAAACAAATTGTTAAATATTTATTAATATTAATATTCAAAATTGTTTATATTTTTGTTTAAAAAAATTATTTTTGAATTACAACTCTAACAATCAAGAATTCACGATGAATGACCCATTACACGTGTTGAATCTAACGCGAAAGGAAAATTTCATATGCTTTTCACCGGTTTATACTTTTTTCATTAGCGCCAAAATGGACAAAAATTCCCGCCATTTATAAAATCTAGGCCGTTTGCCCTCTTTCGCTTATCAAAACCCTATAGAGAGAAAATCAGTGAAAAGGAGAGGAAACAATCTTATCTAGTAAGAGATCCAGATGGCGGACGAGCAACCGACAGCAGCTGGCCGGCGCCGGGGCAGAGGAGCCGAAGCGACGGCCCGAGCTGAGGCCTTGGAACGGCTCAAGGCGCTCCGGCGTGGCGGACGCAGATCTGGAGAATCAGGAGGATACGACATCAAACTAGAGACCCCGATATACGACACCGTGGAAGACGACGAGTATGATGCGCTGGTGGCGCGTCGCAAGGAGGAGGCGCGAGGTTTTATTGTAGACGATGACGGCCTCGGCTACGGCGACGAAGGCCAAGAAGAAGACTGGTCCACCGCCGGAATCCCTTCTTCGTCGGATGACGAATCATTGGACGGCCACAAATCGTTTAAGAGGAAGAGAGTTGAAAAAAAAGAAAAGAAAGAAAATAATCAACATGTAAAGAAGTCGAACCCTTCGCTGACGGCCGCAGCGGCAATGATGGGGAAACAGAGATTATCAGCGATGTTAACGTCAACGGCGATGTTTAGAAAATCCAAGGATGATAAAGTAAAGGAAAGTGAGAGTGTTGTTGATGAAGTTTTAGCGGAATTCGCGCCAGATGACGCGGATCGAGAGAGGCGTAGAAGGTCGCACCCAGTTTCAGTTTTAAGTAATAATAAGAGTTTTCTTTCGGTTAATTCTGTTCAAAGTGAGCATCAATTGGTCACTAAGTCGTTAAATTCAGTACCGAAGGAAAATTGTGATTTGGTGATGAATTCGGTAGTAAATCAAAATGCTTATGCAGTAGTTTGTGATGTGAATGAGGAAAAGTGTTTAATCGATGACTTGAAAGATTCGAGACCAGTGTCTGGTGTGAGTACGGAACTGATTAAGAAGGATGTGATTGAATTGAAAGAGGAAGTGAAGGAGGAGACTCGTAAACTGAATGCAAAGATTAGTAACGAGGAGAAGGATCCAGCATTGAGTGCCAGTGCTGGGTGGAAGGCCGTTATTAGTGGTAATGGGGCAGCTGATGATATGAAAAATGGCTCAAACAGTGAAGAGCTGTCAGAATTTGAGGTGGATGCAGATGGATCGTTGCCGTTTTACATTGTTGATGCCCATGAGCAGTTTTCTGGTGCCAATATGGGAACTGTCTATCTCTTTGGGAAGGTAATATGATAATTTTGCTAGGTTTTGTTGTCAATTGCATTATTTGTAGAACATCTCTGATTTATTTTTAAATGTTATGCTTACTCTACTTTGCATATTTTTGGTAGTAATTAGACGAATTGGTGGCATGAGGGAAGACGGTGTTGTAATGTATTTTCATTTGCTTATTCACGTCACAGGTTATTGTCAGCAAATTTCTGACTGTCCTTGACCATATCAGTTACCTGTGCATAGATAAATAAGACTAACAAATTTGAGAACTCAAGTCAGTTAGGTTTAATTGAAGGCTTTAGGTTGATTACATGAATTATTTATTTCCGTCCCTCTCTGTATAGGGCTTCATACATCTTCCTTTGGATCTCAAGTTGCCATTTCCTTCTGTTATGACCCAAAACGATGTGATTATATTAATCTTTTTCTGTTGGCATGATCATTACTCTTTGTAGTGCTCTAAACAATTGTCAATGCTCCAGCCAGCCCATACTTTAGCAAAGTACGGTAGGTCTTCAGTTTATCGGTTGCCCTTCAAAAGTTTGTACTATTTGAAGATGAATGTAACAATAATGGCTGCTTTAGGAGTGTGTCCATGACATTGATTCTAATATTCTATTTCTTTTTTGATTAGATAAATTTTATTCTAATTGCAGAGTGTATACTTCTTTGTGTCTTGGCATGCTATATAACTGGTTAACTGTTTTAGTTGTTATTGGTGTAAATTCATAAACAAACAATGACCCCTGTGATTGTCATATATCTTTTTTCTTAAGGTCAAAGCAGGAAACACATATCATAGTTGCTGTGTGGTTGTTAAGAACATGCAGAGGTGTGTGTATGCAATCCCAAATGGTTCTCTATTTCAAACTGATGAGATAATGAAGCTTGAGAAAGATGCTGAAGAGTCTCGCATTGCTCCAGCAGTTTTCTGGACAAAGCTTCAGGTAAGTTTGTTTCTGTATGTATGCAAGGATGTGCACAAATACATTTTTCCTCTTTATCTTCTATTTTCCCTTTTCTAGTTTTGACTGTTATTAGTTTTTTTTTCTTCATTTTGTTCTTTCTCTGTTAGGATGTGGCTTCAGGATTAAAAAGTGAAATAGCAAAACGGTTGCTAAGTCTCAATGTTTCAAGTTTTAGCATGTCAGTGGTTAAGGTTTGTAGACTTAACCTTTATGGTATCCTTGGAAATGCATTGATTAACTTTTAATATTTTTTTTGATTCATTCTCATTTCTCTTATGTTCTTTTAATATCTTTGGTTTATCGTTCCTTGTGTATACAGAGGAGATATGCATTTGAGCGATCTGACATACCTATTGGTGAGAATTATGTGCTCAAGCTCAATTACCCATTTAAGGTATATCACTGAACCTGTGAATCAAATCAATGAGGTAGTTAAATGTAATTCTTATATGTTAAATCTTTCTGTTATCAATTTTTGGAAGTTACTTTTGAGTTATCAATTCTTAAGGTCTCTGTGAATCCAGGACTCACATATTGCTGCTATCATTGGTATCCTGACATATTTGAGTTATCAATTCTTAATAACTACCATGCACTTTGTCGTTGCAGAACCCGCCACTTCCTGCAGATCTAAAAGGAGAAACTTTCTGTGCTCTGCTTGGTACTCATACAAGGTAAAAATACTTAGCAACTGACTTGATTACTTGATATGAACTATATTGATCACCTATTGTAAAATCAATATTCTTGCATACAGCATATTACTATATTTTTTCAGGTTTCTTTTAGATCAGAAGTATTAGAACATCGTAGAGACTTACTCACATATGTAAAATACACTGCATCGATAAAAAGTTATAAGACAGTTTAATGCTCGGTGCATTTGTGCTTGGAAGAAAGGGTACTTACCTGTGTAATCATATGCAGTGCCTTGGAACATTTTCTTGTTAAAAGGAAGGTAAAGGGACCTTCTTGGCTATCAGTTTCAAAATTTTCTACCTGTCCTGCTCCTCAAAGGGTGAGATTTCTGATGCTGTGGATCTTTTGTCTCTTAAAGTCATGTTTATAAAATCTTTTATGCATAGTTTGAAATTTATTGGCATTCTCTTGCACAGGTGAGCTGGTGCAAATTTGAGATTACTATTGACTCTTCCAAAGATATACGAGTTTCATCTTCCTCAAAGAATGTGCTAGAGACTCCTCCAGTGATTGTGACAGCAATAAATTTGAAAACTATTGTCAATGAAAAACAGGATGTAAATGAAATTGTCTCTGCATCTGTCATCTCCTGTCTCAAGGCTAAGGTTTGTTTAAGAAACACATACTTATTTTGTCTTTCTAAATGCGTGACTTGGCTGATGTTATTATTGATGTTGGTTGATATTTAACTGAGTCTGAGTTGCCTTGAAAATCAGTCAATACGATTTTGGTGCTAGTGATGTTAAATCTAGGGAATATGGTATTCCATTTGATATGAATAAATGTATATTATACAAGTCATAGTGTTGTGCAAGGTATGGTTGTTACATTTTAAAGCTACACTTGAGTTGTGTGATTTTCAGATGTTAACCTCAATCGTGTTTGAATATAAATTTCTTTTACTCTGTTGATAATTAATTATGGATGGAATCATGGAAAGATACCGGTACAGTATATAATGGTTTTTAATGACAGTTTTGGCAAACAAATCCACTTCTAGAGTTACCAAAGTCTTGGTTAAACTTTTTAACTTGATTTCCCAACACTTACATGTTTTTAAACTGGAGTTGAGCTTCTTATATTTTAGTATATACTCCAATTGGCGTTGTTCTAGCTGAAGGAAGTTACATATTGATTTCAATAGATCTCATACAAATTGTTCTTTGTACTAAATAAGCTACTTGTGTTGTTTCACTTTTCAGATTGACACTCCCATGTTGGCCTCAGAATGGAAGAAACCCAGTCTTCTAAGCCATTTTACTGTTGTACGCAAGCTTGATGGAGGTATATTTCCTATGGGGTTCAACAAAGAGGCAACAGATAGAAACTCAAAGGCTGGTTCAAATGTTTTATGCTCCGAAAGCAGGTAAATTCTAATTATGTTTTTTGTGTTCCATCAAAGTTTTCGTCTGCACTGCATGAATTTGCAATTTAAGTTCCTATGATTGAAATATTTTGAATGTAATTTTGTAGTGAGAGAGCTTTGTTAAATCGTCTCATGATTGAATTATACAAGTTGGATAGTGATGTTCTTGTTGGGCACAATATATCTGGGTTTGACCTGGATGTTCTCCTCCACAGAGTGCAGGTGAGAATATCTTTTCAGTGCTTTCTATCTGAAAAAAAGTTTCAAACTACATTATTTTGTGCTTGTGGTAACAAGAATATTGTTAAAACTGTTGGCAATTTTTTCTATGCTGACTCACTGCAGTTTATCACTTGTGTACATGAGGCTGGTGGATTCAGTCATTTCTTGACTTTTGGGCTAGTTTCCAAAAGGCACAAATGCATACATTTTTTTTTTTTTTTGGCTCTTTTTAGATCATATTTTCAAAAAATTAAAATGTTGGCCCTTAAAATATGGAAGTGGAAACAGGAATGGAAACTTGTGATTCTTTAATTTAACGTCTCCCTCAACTCAACTTGTATTCCCTAAATTGCTAGATTCTGCTGCCCTGCCCATCAATCAGATGTACATTCACTGAATTCCTTGTCATCTCTATAATGCCCTTGTATCCTTATTATGCAGGCTTGCAGAGTGCCTAGCAGCATGTGGTCCAAGATTGGCCGTCTTAAGCGATCAGAAATGCCTAAGCTTATGAAAGGAAGATCCACTTTTGGGTCTGGAGCTAGTCCTGGTGTCATGTCTTGCATTGCTGGTCGGCTCTTATGTGACACATATTTGTGTTCCCGTGACTTATTAAAAGAAGTATAACATTTAGCTGGTATATTACATGTGAAAGCACATAATGGAGCTAAAATTCAATGCTCATGTTTTCTAATCTTCTTCTCCAGGTCAGTTATTCTCTGACACAACTTGCAAAGACTCAGTTGAACAAAGACCGCAAAGAGATCGCCCCACATGAAACCCCCAGAATGTTCCAAACATTGGAATCCCTTTTGGAGCTTGTAAGTTTTTGATGCTTATGTTGTCTAGTTTTGGTCATTATGTTTGATATCATGATAAAGGCCCCTGTTATTGGTTTGGATATCAAAGAAATATATAAATAACAGGGGTAAAACGCAACACAGAAATGATTTTTGTTTCATCCTGCAATGTTTGTCCATTATCAAAAACCAAAGCATTCTTTTTCCTTCTATTGATGTTACTAATGTCAGTTAACATTATCAATAACCAAGCATTAAGCATTTTAAGTACCAAAAGGAGGGCAATTTTGGAAAATGGATATTTAAAAAGCAAGTTATTGCTTCATGTTCAATTTCATAGAATGCAAGTCTTGATAGAATGCGCTCATTGAATAGTTTGTTTCTCCAGGTAATAAGTGGAAAGGAACATCCATTGGACATGATGGTCCGTTGTGTTTTGCAATGACTGAATTATTTATGTTTATTGAAGTCATTGAATAACTTATTTTTCCGGGTTTTAAAGCTTTATTGGTTCCTGCATTTAAATTTGTGGTTGTGATCTTTTGAAAATGATGTTATCTTGCTCCACTGTACTTGAATATGATCATTTGAATTATTATCTATTCTATGTGATATAAAACATAAAAAAAGGTTTAGTACTTGTCTTTTGAGCTTTAGTAAATGATGTAGGTTTTTTTTGACATAGATAATGGTTCAACAGGTAAATTTTGCTATTTATGACAGGAAAATTTACTGCTTAGTGTGCTGGGATAATGTTTTATGTCTAATGGTATCTGTAATGCTTCCAGATTGAATGCGGTGAAACAGATGCATGGTTATCTATGGAGCTCATGTTTCATTTGAGTGTTCTTCCCCTCACACGTCAACTAACTAATATAAGTGGCAATCTTTGGGGAAAAACTCTTCAAGTGAGTTCTTGCTGTACTTTTCATTTTGTTTGTTATCTTGTATAAACTGTCAATCAACATGACTTATAACATAGGTTTTTCTTTCAGGGTGCTAGAGCTCAGAGAGTAGAGTATCTTCTATTGCATTCATTCCATGCAAAGAAGTTTATTGTCCCGGACAAGATTTCTTCTCATATGAAGGAAAATAAGATAGCAAAGCGTAGATTAAGTCATGGTGTGGGGGACAGAAAAGCTGAAGAGGAAAATATTGATGATGCAAATTTTGATGATGCTGCTCCACATAATGAACATGGAAAAGGCAAAAAGGGTCCTGCTTATGCTGGTGGATTGGTTTTGGAGCCAAAAAAGGGTTTATACGACAAATATATCTTGCTTTTGGACTTCAATAGTCTTTATCCTTCTATTATTCAGGTGAGATGGCCTCTCTTTCTTTCTCTATGTACACACACAGTTGCACATCAACATGTCTATTTGCCATTGTCAATTGCTGCTGGATTGAGTTGTGAATATGAGCAGCATTACCTAATGAATTTTACAGGAATATAATATTTGCTTTACAACAGTGGAAAGATCTCCAGAAGGATTTGGTCCTCATTTACCATCTAGTAAAACAACTGGAGTCCTACCAGAGGTATTTTTATGTTTATTTATTTTTGATTAATATTGCTAGATTTTTCAATAGTATTGGGGCTTCAGAAACCTTTTAAAATAATAAATTGATTTTCTTTTTTGGTTATGCTTTTGACTTTAAGACACAATTTTGGAACCAACAAGAAAGCTTATTGAGAAGAATGTTTATAATTTATATCATTACTCATTTTGCAACTTTGCATGCTATTTCAAGTTTTAAACTCAGCTTGGTTGAGTTACCTGACAAAATGACTATCTGCTTTGCTTTCTTTCAATAAAATTGGGAAGCAGAAATTGTTTAATCTTTTTGTTGTTATTCTTTCTTTTCTTCGTGCTTCCTGAATTTGGTTCTGCTTTCATAATTAAAACCAAGGCTGATAGATAGGCATTTGTAATTTTAGTACCTGGGTTGGTTACAGGTTTTCTCTTTTTGACTCCCACTTGGATAGCTAGTTCATCCCTTTCCTTTTTTCCCTTTCTCTTTTGTAGTTGCTTAAAAATTTGGTTCAGAGGAGAAAAATGGTTAAGTCATGGATGAAGAATGCATCTGGTCTTAAGGTCCAGCAGCTTGATATTCAGCAGCAAGCATTAAAGCTCACTGCAAATAGGTCTGTGTTTATAGTTGTTTTCTGTAATTTGTTAGTTTTACTTTAAGACCAGATGGTATTGCCATACAACGTATTTTGTACTCACTATACATTGCTGATATGTTCACTATGCAGTATGTATGGATGTCTTGGGTTTTCCAACTCAAGATTTTATGCAAAGCCTCTTGCAGAGCTTATAACACAACAAGTAAGAGAAATATATCTTACTCCACTGTAATTTGAAGGAGTTGCCTTGCTTTTAAGTGCAAAGAAAATGGCTTATAATACAGAATGTTTCTTATCATTGAGCAAGTCACATGATTGTGCAGGGAAGGGAGATTCTTCGGAGCACTGTTGATCTTGTTCAGAATAATTTGAACTTAGAGGTCATTTCTTGTACAATCTGATTTATAAGTCATAGGTCTGCATTATTTGGCTGACTTGTAAACATATATAGCTATTGAAGGATGCATTTATCTTGTATCTGGCAGGTAATCTATGGTGATACAGATTCAATTATGATTTATAGTGGACTAGATGATATTGCAAAAGCAAAATCTATTGCAGGGAAAGCCATTCAAGAGGTAAAGTTATGGCCATGTAACTTCTATTCATTTAAAGCATTGCCCATACATCTTGTAGGCAAAAATGAATTTTGTATTATCTGACAGATTCTTAAAGAGATTATTATTATTATTATTTTTTTAAATTCTGCTATTTCCTATCCTGTATTTCAATCATGATTGTGGGATGTCTGGTCCAAAATTTAGTATTATTTTCGTCATCTGTCCTCAGTTAAATATTGACCTAAATAGAAGAAAAATAAGGCATGCACGTCCTTTACATTTGAGAACAGTATAATTCATTGCCCTGGCAAATTTTCAAATACTGAACTTGCAGGCATTTGCTTGTTTAAACTAAATCTTAACTTTCTTTATATATTTCCCTTTTGGTGCTTTATATGACATGTAACCTTTTTTTCTACCTGTTTAGGTCAACAAGAAGTATAAGTGTCTAGAAATTGATCTTGATGGCTTGTACAAGAGAATGCTACTGCTTAAGAAGAAGAAATATGCGGCTGTCAAAGTGCAGTTCAAGGATGGGACAACATATGAGGTACACCTAAAATATCTTTTCTATGATTTGTAGGACTCTTTTATTACTGGAAATCAGTTTGTTGGACACCAGAGGACATGACACTTCTGTTTACCTATGTCTGAGATATGCAGATAATGAGAATGCTCCTTTATTTGCTGAAATTTATGTTAACATTTTGATGATGGTTACAAACTTTGTCGTGCAACTTTGAACTTGCAAATTTGATAATTATTTGTGTCTATGATTATTCTATATTGCAAACAAATAGATAAAATATAAAAATATATCTTTCTAATATCATAAATGCACGGACACGTGTATTTTAGTTGCATCCTCATGTCTAGATTTTAAGAGTTCTAATATCCATGCCCATAGATCGTTGTGTTTTTCACTTTTTACTTAACCAAAGTCATTGTGATAACTTGTAAGGCAGGTTATTGAACGTAAAGGTCTTGATATGGTTCGCCGCGACTGGAGTTTACTATCAAAAGATGTGGGAGATTTCTGCCTAAGTCAAATATTGTCAGAGAGGTGTGCTATTTTCTTTAACCTTTCTTCCATCCCCTCGCTAAGCTGCTAATCTAAGCAATTGAATTGCTAATCCTTTTTTTTTTTTTTTTTAACTGTTATGCTCACAGGTCATGTGAGGATGTTGTTGAGTCAATACATAATTCTCTCATGAAGGTGATGTCATAGTTTCTCATATTTTTGCCTTTTTTTGTTGGAAGAGGGGGGAGGGGGGATAATAATTTTGTCATGAACTCAATTTCTTTGATAAAAGATAATTCATCAATTTTGTTACTNAGGATGCATTTATCTTGTATCTGGCAGGTAATCTATGGTGATACAGATTCAATTATGATTTATAGTGGACTAGATGATATTGCAAAAGCAAAATCTATTGCAGGGAAAGCCATTCAAGAGGTAAAGTTATGGCCATGTAACTTCTATTCATTTAAAGCATTGCCCATACATCTTGTAGGCAAAAATGAATTTTGTATTATCTGACAGATTCTTAAAGAGATTATTATTATTATTATTTTTTTAAATTCTGCTATTTCCTATCCTGTATTTCAATCATGATTGTGGGATGTCTGGTCCAAAATTTAGTATTATTTTCGTCATCTGTCCTCGTTTAAATATTGACCTAAATAGAAGAAAAATAAGGCATGCACGTCCTTTACATTTGAGAACAGTATAATTCATTGCCCTGGCAAATTTTCAAATACTGAACTTGCAGGCATTTGCTTGTTTAAACTAAATCTTAACTTTCTTTATATATTTCCCTTTTGGTGCTTTATATGACGTGTAACCTTTTTATCTACCTGTTTAGGTCAACAAGAAGTATAAGTGTCTAGAAATTGATCTTGATGGCTTGTACAAGAGAATGCTGCTGCTTAAGAAGAAGAAATATGCGGCTGTCAAAGTGCAGTTCAAGGATGGGACAACATATGAGGTACACCTAAAATATCTTTTCTATGATTTGTAGGACTCTTTTATTACTGGAAATCAGTTTGTTGGACACCAGAGGACATGACACTTCTGTTTACCTATGTCTGAGATATGCAGATAATGAGAATGCTCCTTTATTTGCTGAAATTTATGTTAACATTTTGATGATGGTTACAAACTTTGTCATGCAACTTTGAACTTGCAAATTTGATAATTATTTGTGTCTATGATTATTCTATATTGCAAACAAATAGATAAAATATAAAAATATATCTTTCTAATATCATAAATGCACGGACACGTGTATTTTAGTTGCATCCTCATGTCTAGATTTTAAGAGTTCTAATATCCATGCCCATAGATCGTTGTGTTTTTCACTTTTTACTTAACCAAAGTCATTGTGATAACTTGTAAGGCAGGTTATTGAACGTAAAGGTCTTGATATGGTTCGCCGCGACTGGAGTTTACTATCAAAAGATGTGGGAGATTTCTGCCTAAGTCAAATATTGTCAGAGAGGTGTGCTATTTTCTTTAACCTTTCTTCCATCCCCTCGCTAAGCTGCTAATCTAAGCAGTTGAATTGCTAATCTTTTTTTTTTTTTTTTTAACTGTTATGCTCACAGGTCATGTGAGGATGTTGTTGAGTCAATACATAATTCTCTCATGAAGGTGATGTCATAGTTTCTCATATTTTTGCCTTTTTTTGTTGGAAGAGGGGGGAGGGGGGATAATAATTTTGTCATGAACTCAATTTCTTTGATAAAAGATAATTCATCAATTTTGTTACTTATAGTTGTGTTCACTTGTGTTGAATAATGTGTTCATGCCTTAAACCTATGCATTGTCATAGAGGAGTTTAACAGATTGTCACCGATATGCATATCTAACAGGTACAAGAGGATATGAGAAGTGGAGAAGTAGCGCTTGAGAAATATGTCATCACAAAGACGCTGACTAAACCACCTGAAGCCTACCCAGATGCCAAAAATCAGCCACACGTTCAAGTGAGCTTCATGAACTATTAATGATATCATTACTTAGATTTCTACCTTGCCTATATAAGTTGTTTCACTATTTATTGAACCCAATACGTGGAATTTACTTTTGATCATTTTCTAGGTGGCACTGAGATTGAAGCAAAGTGGTTACTCAACTGGTTGCTCTGCTGGTGATACAGTACCCTATATAATATGTTGTGAACAGGTTTGAGACTATTTTTATGTTCTTTTATCAAATTCAGCAGTCTCTGGAGCTTGGGTGTGGAGTGCTTTTACATATAAGATGTAACATTCATGTTATATTTCTTTCCTTTCCTGGATAGGGGATAAGTTCAGGAAGTTCAGTTGGAATTGCTCAGCGTGCTAGACATCCTGATGAACTGAAAAGAGATGATGGCAAATGGATGATTGACATTGAATACTACTTGTCTCAGCAGATTCATCCTGTAGTATCACGTCTATGTGCTTCAATTGAAGGTACAAGCCCAGAGCGCTTAGCTGATTGTTTGGGGCTTGACTCATCCAAGGTAAAAGCATCCCTCAGGCCAGACTCACTTTGAGTTTACGAAACTTTTCCTATTTCATTGATTGCTTACTTTTTATATTAAATTATGGTTTCTTTTAGTTCCAAAGTAAATCAAGTGAAGCAATTCGCAATGATTCTTCTAGCTCATTCTTGTTTGCTGTGGATGATGAGGAGAGGTAATTATTGTTTCTCGTGTTAATCTGCTGTGACTATGCATTACTTTTTACAAATCTCTTTCATGTCAATGTTTTTAGCCATTTATTTTTGTCAAATTTGTTATTTGGAAATAATACACAAACTTTAAATATGCTGTCAACAGCTCTGTAATTATTTATGAAATTCTTGTAATATTCTTTGATGTATCCAAGAACCTGTGCTCTTTCATCAAGCCTTTTTTTTCCCCTGCAATGCAGTTGTTTCCCGTTAATGTATAAATTTTATCACATGATCAAAATTGGTGTACTGGATTACTCCCAGTTTTCTCATTAATCCAAAAATTAATCATTTATGGATTGTTATAATTGAATTGCAGATACCGGGGTTGTGAGCCATTGATCTTGTCCTGTCCCAGTTGCTCTAGTAATTTTCACTGCCGAGCTGTCTTCAGTTCTGTTTATACGTCAATCAGTGAGAAGCCAACAAAAGCAGAAACACAGTGCAACTTTTGGCGTATATTGCGCTGCCCTAAATGTCCAGAGGATGGTGATGTGGGTAGGATATCTCCTGGAATGATAGCTAACCAGGTATTAATTTGAGACTTATACCTCTAGTTGACTAAAATTGGGCACCCTGAAAAATTGTAGAATTTTAGAGCTTAGGGATTGTGGTAAGCTTTATAGCTTCTTCGCCTTCTGTGCCTTTGAACAAAACACTGAAATGGTTAAATGCCAAACAAACCACATAGAATAAAAAGTTTTCATCTAGGGTGAGAAAGTCCTTAATATTCATGATTGATCCACATATTCTAGGGTCAGAAAGTCCTTAATATTTTCATCGATTGATGCACATCTTGTCATCTACAACATTGTCACTGAGGACTATAGTATTAGCATTTTGTGCATCATGGCGTACCTGCTATATAAAAGTGATTGGGGATCCGAGCTTTAATCACAGGATTTTAGACAATAACATATCTTATAATGTGTGTATTTGGCAATGTCTCTGTCAGGTCAAAAGGCAGGCGGAGGGATTTGTCTCAATGTATTATAAGGGCTTAATGACGGTAATCTACCTCTCGCAAAACTTTATTGTTCGGTGATTCCGTGTTTAAGAGACCATTTGGCATAATGCAGTTTAGTGTTAAGTGATAATTGAATCAATGTCATGGATATACTTTGTTCAGTGTGATGATGAAACTTGCAAGTACACCACACGTAGTCTGAACTTGCGGCTGGTTGGTGATTCCGAACGAGGAACGGTTTGTCCAAACTATCCACGTTGTAATGGCCATCTCTTAAGAAAGGTTTTCATCGTAACTTCATGCAGACTACTATAATGTTTTTCTTGAATCTATAGGTTTATTTATATACTAAGACTTCTTTTGGGTGTAAAAATGTGCGTTCACTAGTACACCGAAGCAGATCTGTACAAGCAGCTTTCTTATTTCTGCCATCTGTTGGATACTGTACGCTGTATAGAAAAGGTTACTTCATTTAACCATTTTGATGTCGCAATGATTAATTGGGCATAATCTTCTATTTTACAAAAATGCGTACTAATGGTTTTATCTGTATTATGGCAGGTACAGATAGAGGCTAGCGCTAAAATACCACTAGAGAAAGAGCTGATCAAGATTCGGCCAATGGTCGCTTTGGCTGCATCAACCATTCAAAGTATTCGAGATAGGTGTGCCTATGGATGGGTACAGCTCAATGACCTTATCGTCTTTGTGTAAATTTAAGCCTAACATACAATATAGGTTGTCCATATTATAATTCATTATGTAGATTTGTATTTCATTCAAAATAGAGAACAAAAATAAATACATCGGACTAGTTTTAACCCTTCCAGTTATAGGATAACATAATGTTACCTTACTGGGATCACATTGTCCCTTTGGCGGCCCTCGATCATCGCCCATGACCCTAGGGCTGCCATAGATTCATTGTCCCGGAGATTAAACTTTTTTAAGTATGATTTCTGAATAATCTTTTTCAGTATAGTAATGCGGGTGAACTTTGTCCCCCGGATACCACACACAAATGGTGTACCAAGGTCAGTTATGGCCTTATAGCCAATGAGGCCAATACACATTATAATTTCTTTATAGTCATAATGTTGGGATTAATTAAATTTATTACTACAAAGAGGTTATAATTTAATAGAGGTGTAATTATAAAAATTATTGTTTTGATTTTATAATTCATGTTTTAATAATATTAGGATAATACGAAAATAGATATCAAAGAATTAATATAAAATTAAATGATCAGATTCAATAATTTTTGTTATTTTAATCAAATAGATATTAATGTTTTTTTCAATTATTATGTTTTAATTAAAGAGAAATCATTACTTGAATTAGATAAGAGAAATAAGATATTCTTGAGATGATATTATGAAAATACCAAAAATTTTATACTAAGAAGTTCTAAATATGTTTGAGAGTTAAAAATATTTTAGTTTCAATAAGATGTTAATATTGACGGCTTATTATGTATTCACAAGATAAAAGATATAGTAATAATTTTAAAACATAAATTATTGTCTTAAACAACTTTAGATAAATATTTTATTTCATCTTAAATTTTTAATGTATCATAGTATATATTTTTTACAATATATATATATAATTATTATTATGTAGAAACAAATTTCTTAAGATGAGATCTAAGAAAATTATAACTTATTATAATATAAAATTTATTTTTATTTATACTTGGTTTAAGTTGAAATCAGTATTTTATATATCTACATAAAGAGTATTCTTACATAAAACATCATTATGGAGAAGGTTCTATTATATATATAAACGTTTATATTGGAAAGCTGCTATTCTTTCAATTCCCTTCCCATCAGTGATGAAAATCCAAAACAATTTAGCAGACGAAATAGAAGAGATTTTGAACAATAGAATTCAACGCAATCAATTGTTTTATTGAGTTTGATTATTGAAACTCTAAAATTACATTATAATATAAATTATTAAATTGAGCATGTGTATCCAATGACTATCTGAAGAAGCTCCTCTAATTCTCTTGGAATCATGACTTGCAATTTGTACACCACTCAATGCAAAAAGCTTATCTTGATAAATCCTCATTGTAACTCCCCAACAGGTGCTTCATTGAGCCAGAGGAAATGAATGAAGTCGTACAATTTTGCACTTACACTCACCTGCTTGCCATTTATTTCAATTATTTTTAATGTTCCAAAGTATTATTTCAACAAATGTCAATTTACTGAGTATACAAGGGACATTTACAGTTACCTTGTAAGGTGTTGGGTTTAGTCTCCTCATGTGATCAGGCCGCATTAGCTCAAGCTGTTTGATGCAACGTTCTCTAATGTCCTTCAATGGAGGTAAATCTTCTCTTTGTTTACCTTAAAAGACACAAAAATGGTGCCTCAGATGGTTAGACAGATAGTTGCAAACAACATCGAGTCATTATAATATCCACAAGTTCAATGGGCTATTAAAAAAAAAAAAAAAAAAAATGTCAATCAATAAGAGAATGCACCAAAGATTCTTAATTTTCAAACCTGAGTTCCCAGGCCAGTAGCACTTCATAAGTTCTTCAACTTGCTGTGGCACCACATATGCTCTCTTAGATTCACTAAAAGGGTGACGACACAAAATTCGTTCTCCCACCTGCAAGTTTAAAAATCCAATTAAATTTGGGCCTTTCTACTTGCATCATTATCCTCATATATAGTCTGATAAATATTTTTAGTACAGTTGTGTAATTAAGCAAACTGACACATGAGAATAGCAAATAGCTCGTAATTACCACTAAGTGGAAGCACAAGTAAAAATCACAAGGACGGAATACCTTAGGCGGAGGTTCATTTTCTCCTGTCATTATGTCCACCAGAGGGTAGCCTTCTCTGCCATATAACCTATAACTCCGTTTCTTACAGGGTATAGAAACCTAGTATCCAGAGAAACGAATAAAAATTAAAAAAGTGAATAGCAATGACATTATGAGAATCTAGGCAGCATGTTCATACCTTTGAAACATCTTCCGAAAGTTTGATGCGAGGCTGATTATTTATCTCAACGAGCTTGAAAACACAACCTAGAGCAGCCTGAGCATAGCAAGTGACCAGATAGGTTCCTATTCCAAATGCATCCACCTCATGACCCTTTCACAAAGATAAAAAAAAAAAAAAAAGGAAAGGTGGCCTGTTAAACTTAAGACATCAATGTCCAATAAATGTTTAATGCACAAATTTACCGATATCATCCTACATAAATATTATATTAAATAACGTGTTATCAAAGCTTAAACTTATACAGATTTATGGATATAATTAACTCTTTTAATTCAAATTATGTTTACTATGACACAATGTTTATAGAGATGGATGGATCCAACATTTCAGCAGGAACTAATTATAGTTGACAACAATTATTGCCCAGTAACCAGGGGCAGCTCAGTGATTCAGACCGGTGGATGAATAAAACAAAATGATATTGTCAGACGCGGTCAATAATTACCTGAAAAAAGGTTAAGGCATACACAATTACTCAGCATACGCGCTAAGATGATGATACTCATCAGAAAAACCCCTACTGGTATCACACACTCATATAATCCTACGAAGAGTCATCACTACAAAAAGGTATTTTAGAAAATACTCTAAATATTTGCAATTTTTATAATCTTTTTAACACATGCATAAAGTTTAGAAGCAATAAGAAGATAATTTCATCCAAAGCACTGTTAATTTAGAGATTACCTGTTTGTTTAATGCATCCAAAGTTTCTTCATTGAGATCATTACTTGCAGTAATGCTCATCTTTTCAAAACCAGTCACTCCAAATTCTTTCTCAATGGCGCGAAAGAACTTTCGTGCCTCCGAAGACAAATACGCTAAATCACCAGAGTCCAATCTAATGCCTCCAGCTTTATACCTGCATAGCATCTCATCTAAAGTCAGCAAAGAAAATGGTGCAACTAAATAATTACTCAGATTTTAAGCAAATAAAAGGAAGATCCTCAGATCACTAATTGATATGCTGATGGTAAAGAGAAGGAAACGCAAGGACCATAAAAGTATTAGATATTGAACACACAGATAGGATTTTAACTTGACTGACAAGAAAAAGTGATGGCACACATTATCACCTAACATAAGAGATAATGAGAAGGTTGAATGCTTAAAACAATATTTTGAATTCCTCATCTACACATTAAGGATAAGCACGCATTCGGTGAAGCTAAAGATTTTGAGACTTATACAGGAAATTTAATGTGTAGTTTAATCGAAAAAATCATTTCCAGTTTTCCAATTAAGAAAAGAACATGATCAATCATTGTCATAATCACCAACTTCTGATTTCTAACTGACAAACTGAAATAATGTCAATGATAGTAAGCGTCTAAGAACATGTAGAGAAAAAAAAAAAAACAATACCACACAAGCAAATCAGAGTTGGAGAGCCATGTTAAAAAAAGAAAAGGAAAAAAGAAAAGAACTGTTTATTGACTTATGTCCATGTGATGTAAAGAGAAACTGTTCTATCAAGTAAAGATGACAATACATGTGTAAGGTTTCAGATATACCCCAAATCATTGAGTGCTAGAGCAACTGCACAAAAGTTGGGAACTCCACTCCTCATGACCTGGTAAAATGGATTTGGGGATATTGAACCTCAATATTAACAAGTAGACATAATTAAATGCCAAATGAAGATATGCATGGCTTATACAAGAGCAAAAACTGTAAAATGGAAAAAATTCACTTGCCTTGAATTATTATCCAGCATATAATCCATGTTTATGTTTAGGGTGGTCTTAACATGTGACATCACAGCACATGTTAAAATTACAAAATTTTAATCTTATCAACATATTGAACTTTTGTTTTTGATTTTTTTAAAGAGTGTATTGATGCAATCAAAATTTTGGTCTTTATGATCTAAGGCATGAGTTGAGAGGACTTTCACGTTTATTATAATCCACTAACGGAAGCCATTGCTGGATTCAAAAAGTTAGAGCCAAAATATAGGAAGAGAACACAAGCTGTTGAATAGCAAGAATGAAACATCTGACCTTTATAAGTAGTTTCAGCCAATAAAAAATACATTTAAGAGATTACCACATTTAATAACTCCTATTTTTGTCTTTTAGATTTTTTCAGCACTTGCAGAAAATGAAACATAAATAAGATTTTTTATTCATGAAATGACTTGAGTAACATATATACTAAGAATGTCAACTGTGAAGATAAAAGAGATAGAGGGAACAGTTCAGTTATTAGGTAAAAATGTTGTAAGTCAAGCTTCATGCGCTATTTAAGATCTAAAGAGAAATATGACATTAAATAATTGATGCTAAGCCATGCAGGTAAAGAAATGCAGTTGAACCAGTAAACTGAAAGTATATTAAAGCGTACTTACATCATATGTGTCTACAAGAGCTAGAAAGCTCTTGGGGAACGCTAAGGCATATGAGGTAAAAGCAGCGAGCTCACTTTGATTTGTCTCACCAAATATGCCACTAAATGAGCTTGACCACTGTGAAGAATGCACAAATTAGAAGATTGAATACTGTCGCAGATTAAAAGCAGGAAAACGAATTGAAGAAAGCAAATATAATATAAAATATTACTTTACAGATGAAGCTATAATTTTTTACAAAATAGTTATAATTGTACAAAACACCCCCCCCCCCCCCCCCCCCCCCCCCCCCCCCCCCCCCCCCCCCCCCCCCAAAAAAAAAAAAAAATCATTTTGACGCATGCATAAAATTTATTAACCTCCCAAAATTGCAACAAAAATAAAGGTGACCACTACAAAGCATGGCATTAAAAAAAGAACAATACTCATCCCAAAAGACATCCAAAAATCTTCATCCAAGTGATGTGTAATCCTATGTGGTGTTAACATGTAATGAAATGATGATTTGGCTTATGAAAGTCAACATCACATAGGAGACACGTCACTGGGGGATGAGATTGGGGATCTCTTGGGCTGGGTAGCATTACTCTAAATAAAAGATGGTATGGTTGAAATTGTTCCACTGAGCCCAAATTTCCCTCATCAGTTCTAGTAAGTCATAATAGTTCTGGAAAATAGAATGGAACTTTTGACAAATTTTGAAAATTCCATGTAGCTCAAATTTGTCCAGGTTTTAATAATTTTTTACTAAATCCTATCACAAAGGTGAACAAACAAACTCTTGAACTCAGATAGAAATGAAGATTAGCATAACATAGTGTTCTAATGTACACAGACTATTTGACATTAAAAACGCAAAAAATATGTCACAATATAAATGAAACAGACAAAGAAAAACAAAATGCCTGATCAAGGGAAAAAACCTGAATTTTGTTTAACCATGTCTGAACCAGACCGACAAAATCCTCACAAGTATGCAAGCCATCGGAGCTTTTAAGCGATTTCTCTATGATCTCATCAGGGCTCTGCAAAGTTGACAGATAAATGAGAACACTGATAATAAACATACACAAAAACCTACAAGTCTAGAAATAAGAAATTATCATTTTAAATGCAATAAAAGTATTATGATGACTCGTATGATTAAGAAATATAGGCAAAACTGACAGAAATACAAGGAGATCCAGATGTCAGGGCCAAGTCCCAGCAACTGGCTACAGAGTAATATTGACAGGCTAAGTACCAATAGATGTAAGGGTGACCAGGCACAACAACAACGACAAACAGAAGAGATTTGTCAACTTCAAACACCTTCCAGTATAATCCCAGACAAGTAGAGGACAAGGCTAAAAGGCAAGTGCAGCAATTGATAAATCAACAATCAGGCACTCAGCATTATGTGAAACCAAACAAGATAAATTTTCTCAGCTCAAACATCTGATACAGCAATTCAGGATTTGTCTTGAAACACAATCTACAAAAGAAGCTTTCAATATCGAACATGTAGATTTTCTATTCACAAACTCAATACTCCTAAAGATATGAATATTGCAAGGGTTCTCACTTCTGACGTTAAGGATTGTACAGAAACATGTCAGAAAAATAGGTTGTGAGATTTAAATGGGGAAAAAAGAGACTTCAAACCAATAAAACTCCATCAATATAAAGTTAATATCAATTGTGATGGTATTAATAAAACTAAATGGTTTTTGTACATTATAAGCAATTTGTTCTAAACAACTAACAATAGATGTATTTGAACGTCGCATCTGATTAACTAACCATAAATGAGCTAACAAAGGCATGTGAATGTGTTCCACGAAGTGGTATCCCAAATAACCTTCCAGCTGCAACATTGCTGAAAACATACAACGCAAATCCAAAAGAGAAATTAAACCAAATATTTACTCAGATTAACAACCAAAGCAAAAAGAACAAATTTGGAGACTTCAAGCTTCAACATATATTTGACTGTTCCTTGGGCCTGTACCTTCACTCTGTAAATTCAATATGTTCCTAAAAGGTAGATCAAATATATTTTCTTTGATTTTTTAAGAGATTCAAACAAACAACTGAACCAAGCTGTTTAACCTGTTCCGCATTTGAGAAGTGCATAGAATTTGGATTTATTCGCTCAAGACTTTTAGTAAGGACAACTAATACAAGAAAAGGAGTTGCTTGCATATGCTTAGAACATAGAACATAGAACTTACAACTTAGAAACAATTGACTGTACTGTACAAAAACATTTTCAGCAGAAACTACCTTGTTGCATCAAATCCTCCCATGTAACAGTACTTTGATGCTCCTATCCCTCCATCAGGTCCCTACATGTAAAATGAAGAAGACTACTCTTACAAAGAGACATAAATCTGCAGTTCACATAAAAGATAAAAAAGATAAGTGAGAGCAACCTGAGCCCGTCTAAGCCCAAACTCGAGTAACATTTTGGATTTTCCAGCAACAAATCGATGCCTTGCAGCATTTGTAGAAACTAATGATGCATAATTTATAAGATTCACAAATGGAGTTTCCAGCAATTGAACCACCTAAACACAAAAGATATGCATTAAAATGAATTGAATTGTAAAATTAGTGTCAAACACATGATGTGTGGAAGCAATACTCACAGCAACTGGCCCTTCAACTCTTAGCAAGGGTACCTTTGGGAAAACAACTGACCCCTCTGAAATAGCATACACTTCAACATCAGAGCAGTCGATTCCTCTAAGATAATTGAAGAAGCCATCCTATGATTTGTATTAACAATAAATTCATCAGTTAATAATAAATTTGTAGGTAAAATTCACAATTCACAATATTTTATTGAAAAACGCATAATATATGATAAATGTATTCTGCACTATTTCTAAAAAAAAAATCCAAACTTTATGGTGGAAACCCATTCATTTAAGTGTAGGAATTCAACTGATAATATGTCATGATAAATAAAACAAATTAAGTCAAACGAGTGGAATGATGACAGATATCATCAGTTAATCAACCAAGATTTTCCCCATTCTTTAGGGTAAATGGGAGCAATTAAGACAAGGAAAGTTACAATCGTGTAGCTCATGCATCCATCACTAACGTTCCACCCAATCCAACATGAACTAAGTTCAAACTACATCTAAAGCAATGCTGCTTACATATTTAGTGAGTACTTATTATGCTTCCTTAAAACTATGGGAGAAGTCAAAGTGGTCTACAGCATTTCAACAGGTTTAATATAAACTGCAATAGCCGATTAGCAAAACAAAAATACAAGCTTGGGTGCAACTCCTTTTTGGAGTTACACCAGTGTTTCAATGTCATTATCAATTATCAATTAATAACTAACAAAATTATTATCCCATACCTCACATGAACCAGGCAAGCTATCACGGACAAACGAGATCTCATCCTCTGTAAACTTGAAATTAGCAATTAGCCTAATGCATTCTTCTAAACCAGCAAAGATTGTATATTCACCACCAAATGGATTCTTTCGAAAATATAAATCAAACCTGTAGCACACCAGGACACAAATAATAAACAAAAAAGCTCCAAGTACTCCAACTTCTAAAAAGTTGGCTTTGTAGTATGGAAATAACACAGTACGGAGCTTAAAAACAAAGTCCTTAGAATGTTGCCAGTGATCAGCATTCTTGATGCTTTCCAGTAAGTAGTAAACAAAATTAAATTATTCAAATTTTTGCTATGCAAAAACCAAGTATAGAAGGACAACTGAAATCCCTTGATATTGCTGATTTATTAATTTTCAATTTTGTTCCTGACAAACAGCAATCCTAGTTCCTTACAGTAATTTCAAAGCCAAGATTGTGTCTCTTGTAATTCATTTCAAAACCAATAATTATGTTATAATTGAATATAGGTTAGTGTGATGATTTAATTGAAACATGAAGTGCTCACCCAAACATTTCAAAGCATAACAATTTACCACTCAATCACAACTCCGAAACACTTTCGAAGCATCACAAAATCAATTTGTTCACCTAAGTTTAACATAACAATTTACATGATAAACCTCGATGTAGCCGAGACTAAACAAAAAATAAAAAAAATAAAAAAATCCATTAATCGTAAACTCGCATCAAATTTCTACAACGAAGAAAAGTAGCATATTCAACTACTAATTAACTAGAAACAAAATCAATAAATGACGAAAAACAATTACTTAAGGCAGTGTTCGGTAAACTTAGAAGATTGAATTGACAACTTACACGGCACGTTCCTCATGCTTGCCGGCTTTCCAGTAAGCATAAGCCATGGTGAACTGATAAAGATCGTTTAAAAGAGGGGTGACCATGGGGTTAGTCGGGCCGTCGATGACGCGACCCGTGCGCCCTCCAGTCGGACCATTAGCTTTCCCCTCCATTTTTTTTTTCTGTTATTTGCTCTGCTTCGTTTTGTGTGCTGTATATGAGTGCGTGTGTTTATATAGACGCTGGATTTGAAGAGAAGACAGCCTTGTTATATACGGCTTTTTGAAGACGGAAAGGAATTTTTTGGTGATAAAGACTAAAGACCGTTAAAGTCGAAGTGTTTTTCATAAATTTTTTTATTTTTTATAAAATAACTTTTGGAAAATCGATGGGAGAGGAGAAGAAGAACAGAGAGAAGGGTACGTGCGTGAATATGACGAACCTAATGTGATTTCAGTCTTACACGTGGCTGGATATTATACGTTTTCTTTTAGGACCAAAAATATTCAATGTATTTATGGAAATATATTATTAACGAACAATTAGGAATGGTATTGCCTTGTGTTTAAGAAACACCTGTCACAACTATAAATTCTGATTTTTTATTTTATTTTTTTAAATAATCTTGTTTATTATCATTTTCAAAATAGTTGGATGTTTTAAAAATTAAAAAGACCAATGTGTCTAAAAATAATACAATCCATCTCATAAAAATAAAAAGAGAAAATAGAAAAGTTTTAAATTTAAAAATATTTCTATTAATTTTGTTCTGTGATCCCATTTACTACTTTGCATATCCATGTCATTTTTTTTTTTAAAGATTTTTATTAATTTTGTGATATTAAATTCTAAAACTGTGCTTAAAAATAGACCAACAACCATATACGTTAGGATTTACAGGTTGTCGATTCAATATTAGCCATATATATGTTTGGATTATTTCAAACCATTTGATAAAAGCCTAAGTGGTCAAAGTAATTCGCAGGTAAATTGGAAGGAAATGAAGTAGTAGTTGTCTTGTGGGATGTGAACAAAAAAATCCGAGTCACCGCTTGTGGCGAATACAAAAAGCAACCTTTGTTATTCCTCAACAACTATTTGGAAATTACTACTATCTCTTTCAGTAACAAAACTTGGAATATGCCCAGTAGCNTATTATCATTTTCAAAATAGTTGGATGTTTTAAAAATTAAAAAGACCAATGTGTCTAAAAATAATACAATCCATCTCATAAAAATAAAAAGAGAAAATAGAAAAGTTTTAAATTTAAAAATATTTCTATTAATTTTGTTCTGTGATCCCATTTACTACTTTCCATATCCATGTCATTTGTAATTTTTTTTTTTTTAAGATTTTTATTAATTTTGTGATATTAAATTCTAAAACTGTGCTTAAAAATAGACCAACAACCATATACGTTAGGATTTACAGGTTGTCGATTCAATATTAGCCATATATACGTTTGGATTATTTCAAACCATTTGATAAAAGCCTAAGAGGTCAAAGTAATTCGCAGGTAAATTGGAAGGAAATGAAGTAGTAGTTGTCTTGTGGGATGTGAACAAAAAATCTGAGTCACCGCTTGTGGCGCATACAAAAAGCAACCTTTGTTATTCCTCAACAACGATTTGGAAATTACTAATATCTCTTTCAGTAACAAAACTTGGAATATGCCCAGTTGACCGTAATACTATATTCACAAACCTTTTTTACTAACTTTATCTTATAAACGAGACGTATCAGTTTGTAATTGATTAACTTATAATAGATTTCGCTTGTCTAACAATAGGTCTCCCCTGACCAAATATGAACTGACCAATTACGAATGGTCACGTCAACGTTTATGAGAGAAAGTTGTAAGAAGTGTTTGTCAACTTATTTTTATTCTTAAACATATTCCTCAACAACTTCAACATTAGGACATGACATGCCATGACACGAACTCAGAATTCTATGGTTTATTCTGTTGTGTATATATATATATATATATATACACACTTCATATTTACCAATATATTCTTTGGTATTTTTATGGAATTCCAAGGCATATGCTGGTATGTCAAGGTAGCCTATGTGGATTGATGACCAATTAACAGTTCAATATTAAGTACATCAACTTTGTAAACTGCGCTGTTTGCAGAATAAGTAAGTTTTGTTATAGTTTATAATTGCACAAGTAAGATGTGACGCAAGCTAATGCTCTGCAACTGCAAAGAGTCATTTATTATAGTTGAGTTCATTGGCAATGGCAGGCCCAACAGTGCAAAGGTTAACAATACGTAGAAGCCTGTGAAATTTAATACTGATGGGAAGGAGGAGCATATGCATGCTTACCAAAATAGTGTATACGTGGAGGGCAATCCTAAAACAGGAAAACAGGCGCAATTTGCTTTCAAATGGAAATTTGGCAAGTCAAAGAAATAAAGTGATCATCTACATTGCGTATATCACATTCAACACGTACTTAATGGGTGGAAGACTGGGCAACCCAAATATTCTTTACAATCACCGGGTGAAGGGAAAAGAGAGACCTTGAAAATTTACCAAATTTCCTACACTTGACCAGGTTGAATTGTATTCAAACAACAGAAAGTCTCTGAAAAAACTGGTCGCACAAGTTAAAAAGACCAGAAAAAAGACTTCAGCCTTCTGATAATCACCATTATAATGGAATAATTTTAAAATAAATGCATAGATGATAGTATTATGTTAGATAAGTGTATATGTTATTAATGATATGGTACATTTGTTCTACGAAAACTTTTTCTAAATTTGACAGACATGACATGATGTATCTCCTACTGTGACTAATAAGTTTATTTGTCTTCTATTGAATGTTTCCAACCTTTATACCTGTTATATACAGAATTGAGCTTATTCACATGGATTCACGCAGGACCACCCAAAAACCTAACTCTAACATGAATAATTAATTTTGTTTTGGTTCATCCTATATTACACTTGGCCTTCTATGATCTCTTGTTCATTTGGCTTCTCATGGATATTGTGGTTTGAACAGTTGCCAAACATTTCACGCAACTGCATAGCAATGCATAAAACTGAGCCACCTTATCGTGAACTTGTTTCTCAATAAACTAATTTTGCCGAGAAGTAACAACGTCAACTGTGTGAACCCAAAGACTGAAACTTTGTTTTCTTAATGAAGAATTCTTGAATACTGATCTCTAACTTGCATATCTTTTTCAATTTATGAGTTGGATAGTGATTCTTCATTACAAATCACTAGCTAATTTGCGCATCTCCTCAGTTTGTCAAATGGGATGTTGATTCTATGGTGTTGACGTTCCCGAAAATGGGATATTGATTCTTTGGTGTTGACGTTTCCCGCAGATGGAGCTGTTTAGGGAAGTGGCATGGACCATTATCAGTACATGCATTGGGATATTTGGGATCTTCAGAAGCTGAATGTATTAGGTGAAGTAATTAACAAATTATCCTTTTAAAACCTAAAACTGGTTTAACCATTCAACATGAGATATATGTTATTATGTTTGTTGAGAAAATTTTGCAAATGGTAACATAGAATTAAGTTATAACCCGATGTTATCCTAATATCCTTGTGGTCTGTGTAAAGACCTGAGCTTGGAAAAGATGGAAAGGCATCATAAAGCTCCAAGGTGTATATGACAGGCATTTGCATCGGAACATGACAAGTTATGACATAAAACCATTTTGCTTTCATATTTTTCCCTCGTCCAAGAATTGGACCTTGGAAATTGCGTGCATTTGTTTTTCATAGTAGTTATTCAGAAGAAGACTAATTTAATTAATTAATCAAAGCATAGTGCTATATTCCTGTTGTGAAGGTAGGGTTTTAAGGCATGTGCAATGGAAAGTCAAAGCAAAAGGTGGTCTTACTAATGAAAAAATGACGGTACATTTAGTAGTTATACGGACTTGGTAACTTGTCGCTGTTACCCATGTTTTATTTTCTTGTTTTTGTCTTTGTCTTTGGTGCCAGGTCGCCCATGGCGCCTTTGTTGCCATTTAGAAGTAAAGTGTTCAATGCTCTGGCAGATTGACAGATTGCACATTCCCAAGAACCTGCAGGGAAACAAAGGTGCTCTCTGAAGCTGGGTGTGTCCTGTGCAAACGGGAATAAGAAAGAATAATCCAGTGAACAATGATTACCAATAAAGCTTACTTGGTGAGCTATTTGTGTCCATAAACTAGTTGCAATCCCTTTTGAGCATTCTTTTGCATAAAAAAAAAAAAAAATGCAAATAAGTTTGAGGATTTTGCCTGGGACAACATATTATCTGTTTTTAGACTTTCATAAGAGACAATGAGATGTATATTAACGAGGCCTGAACAGAGTCACGAGTCTTACAATTACTCAAAGCAAACGACATAATTGTATAATTTAATTGAAATAATAAGACGAAGGGAAGGACAATTAATGTTTGTGAAACAGACGGACAGCCAGCAACTGGCATTCAAATAACACTATTGACAGTCAGAAATGATGATGATGCATAAGAGTTAAGACTTCTCTATCTACGAGTGTTCAGAAGGGCATTGGAATGGGGTTCTGGTCAATTCAAACTGCTAACTTTTCTTACAATCCCTTAATAGGTGGAGGTGAAGACAGAATTTCAAACTGTGACCAGAGCAACACTTCCTGATGGTTCAATTTCAAACCAACAATAACTTGCCCAAGCCTCGGGTTAAGTATTTATCTTAAGACGTCAAACTTTTTAAGTCCAAAGGCGTTCAACAATTACCTGGAAGATAATTGAAGGCAATGAAAAGCACCACCAAGAGTAAATCCAATGGAAATTGATGACAATCAACTGACACTTATAATGGTTGGTTACCAAAATCAAAGGGTTCCAAAATAGTTCATTACTGGTAACAGGAGAGAGCACTCTTCATTGCCGAAACCACTTGCTTACCCTTTTTTCAGAACATACTTACCCTTTTAATCAAAAGGCCAAAGGACTTGCCATTAGGTATGAAGCTTTCATATATAAATATATAAGATTATGCATGAGATGGCAAGAACATTACCGCAAGTAGTAATATCATAGGATGAGAATCATTTGACAAGTTCAAGTCTTCGAAAGGCAATAACAAAATAAGCGATTACAGAGTTGATTTTGACCATTTTTGCTCACTACCAGCTAGTTAGAGGCATGTCCAAAATACCACCTACACATTCGAGGCTTCGAAAGTGATTTAAAGAAATACTAAAGCTGGCAGTTAATGTAGCTGCACTAAGTCCAAGAGGTTAAGTAAGTACATCGGTCCAGTAAACTTCAGAAATCCTTCCTTTCAAGCTTGATATCATCACCATGGACGTTTCTTCCGGTTTGCATGCTGTTCACAAGCATATGCCAAGAAAAACTAAGCCATGCATATCATACATTCAAGAATTACATCTTATTCAAAAGTTTCTTTACCCAGTCAAGTGAGGGGAAAGTATAAGATTGCACTCCATATTCTTCAAGTGCACACCTTCAGTCTGGTCTCTACCTATCATGCATGCTTCTAATGAGCCGCTGTTCTTCGCAGCAGAAGCTTGTGTATTAAATGGAAGCAAAGCTGTAGATGTGCTTCCAATTTCAAATTCTTTCAACACATAAAACCATGTCAGATAGAGGTTAAGATCCCATTTAAATATATAAATGATATGAAATGTATCAAGGAGCTGCTTCACAGCTACAATCCTCTTGCCAAATTATCTAGTAAATGAATTGTAGACTAAGTGGACACACCTGAGGGATTTGTCTCTGAATGGTTCACATTTAGTTGTTGATGTTGCAACATGTCTTGCCCACTTGTTACCTTCACATTGCAAACCTATATTAGATTTGTGCATGTTACTCTGTAACTCCAGCCATAATTACTCCTAGAAGTGTCATTCAGGCTTACCCCAGATGAGGTGCTGAGATGGAAGGGACCAAAGTGAGTATGGACGATTGATGAATCCAACCCAAATGAGGTTTCTGAATTGATCATACTTGACATATTGGGTACATGTAGCCGATTCAAGGCACTGCAATGGCTCGGCAGACTGATGATGTTCTGTGACGGAGTTTTTTGGTTCAGAGTAAGTGTTCCTGTTGTGTTCATTTGCGGAGATCCATTTTCCCTATTAAAATCCATTCTCACTTCAGAGAGTTGAAAATGCTGCACCAATGCAGGGAAGGCCATGGGATTTAAGGTAAATCCATTTTTCAGTGTTAATACCTGAAATGTAAACCACAAAGTAACAGGTCAGAACCAAACTCGGTTATCATCACTGCTACTTATTCATCCACTCTGTTTGTTTAGGCAATTTCAACAGGATGAGGGAGAAAGAGATTATGGAACTTATGTTCAGATCAAGAAAAACATCAGTAAAAACTATTGCATTGTGGTCTTGTCCTCTAATTACGCCTAATTTCATTTCTTACTCGAATTTCCTGGAACTCTTGAGATTTTGTGAACTTCACATATCTGGTATAAAACTTAAAATTCAAGGACATCTTCCAATTGGCTCATAATGAAGGGATTGGAATTCAAATCCTGGATTTTTGAGTTGAGAGAGAGCAATATGTTCGAAATAAAAAACATTTCTTCGGAAACGTAAACAACATAGTCATAGTTTTAAGCAGTAAAAGTGATAATGACAGTTCTTTTCCTCCAAGCAAGAGAAAAACTATCAATATCTATCCAGATTAAACTCAGGCATGGTTTCTTAGTAATCTTCTTTTATCATATCAATGAAGAGATTCAAAAGAGATTGATTTGTACTGACTTCTGGAATTATAAAAAAAACTTTTGCCAGGGCCAGCTTATTTTGAGACAACTACAAGACACCTTGCAATGTTAGAACTGTACCAAAATAATCTTTCCTCTTCCTCGTATTATCTTGCCTTAATTATTATGTGTTAAGCATTTTGTGTGTAGCAATCTCTAAGTCAAATGATACATGTTATTGCAACTAGATTTCAGGACTAAATGTCTAAAGTAAGGTTCCAGTTAAATCTTACATAGAAGTTCTTTCATCTTCAGTCTTAACAGTCCATAAATGGGTTATAGTCATCAATCAATTTATCTCAGCTTAAAATTATGAATCTCTAGGGGCCATTGCCAGTCCAACAGCAAGTGCAGTGGTTTCACTTACAAGTGTGAGGGATTAATGCTAAGAATAAATCCAGAAGGGTAGGACTGGATGTAGATCAGCCCTTCGAGAACTTGCTTTGGCACAAACGGCACAGGTCAGGCCCTTAACAACGAAAACCTCTCAAAATACGCTGCAACAACTTTATTAATGGTATCCCCAGGGTCCTCATTTCTTAATCCTCAGCACCAATCAAGTCAACTAGTTAACCACAAGTCATTTAACAGCTAGTATGGAGATACACTCAAATTTTTAAGACTAAGGTGTCAATACCAAGTGAAGGAGCAAAAACAACATAAATACAGAATAAGACAAAATTAAGATGAAGCACAAACCTGCACCTGGACCTGAAGCTGCTTGAGGTATTCGATTGCTTCGTCAAGCATTGATGCCTTGTCTGTCTGTTATTAACATAAAAATACAACGATGAGCTAGTATTCATGAAATAAAAGCAATCAACCCCGAAAAAAGCCAAACTTGTAAATTTGAAATTTACTTACCTTGTTAGAGTTTGGAATTAAGTTCTGCAATGCTTTCATTTTCTCGTTAATCCTGCTTCTCCTTCTCTGTTCAACAAAAACTCAACCCGAAGCCATTAAATAACGCTTAAAATAAAAAATTCACAAAGAAAAATACCTACTACACACTTAGAACAAAGCATAGATACACAAGTGACAAGCCACCACCTTTTCCGATAAATTGTGCACCTCTGCAGCTCTTGTTCTCTTTGAACCACGAACAGTAGGTGGCTTTGGTGAAGCATGATGAGTCAAAGCTTCAATAACCTCCTGCGATTAAGCAATTGAGAATCAGTTGAAGTTTCAGACAATTCAACTAAAAAATTAAAGTTTCTTTGTCCTCAACCCACATTTTATCAGCAACAGAACAGTGACTAAATCTAAAAACCACCCAAAGAATTCTACTTCTCTCAACTATTCCATAACTTATTCTAGACTTAACCAGCAAACAAACATAGCAGAAAAAAAATATAAAAAAATGAAATACCTCACTTTCACAGTCAGGCTCATTAACCGTTTCGTTCTCAGTAACTCCAGCACTTAAAGACAGCACGTTATCTCCACAGACTTTCACATTCCCCAATAAAAGCTCACCAGTGGACAACATATTCACCGGATCACCGGTGAAGAACCCTTGTGAAGTGATCAAAGGCTGAGGAATGTTATCCAGTGTGTACAGCCCAGTGTCAGCCATAACACAAGAAGTAGTGTTTTTGGATGGTGAACGGTACATAAACTGATGAAGAAACATAGAGAATTCATCTTGAGCCTGGTTATTAGAAAGAAAAGATGAACCTCCGGAACATAAATTAACGTTGTCGAAAATTTTGGCATTGTCATGGAAAACATAATCATACAGATCATCTTCCATTTTGGTTTCTCTTTCTTTTTTTTTTTTCTGGGTTTTGTTTTCAGTTACAAGTTTGTTTCTTGGTTTTCTCTGGTTGCTTTTGCTTGCTTTTGTCTTCTTATTATCAAAGAATCCTTTGCATTTAGCAGCAGCAACAGAGTTGAGAGTTTTGAGACATGGTGGGCGGGGTTGTTTAAGTTAAACCAACCGGGTAAACAGTGATGGTTACGTCACGCGGCAGTTTGAGCGAGTGGGAAGCTTCTGACAGTGATAATTATGAATTTAGCAGGTTCTGTTTAATAGGTGGCATGTAATGAGTGGTCTGTTATGTGTTTAAAATGACGGGTGGAGTTGGGTAATAAATTGATTCTGTCAGGTGAAGTCCACTCACACTCACTTCCCTGTTGCACGTGAGTCGCACTAAAACAGTAATGCTAACTAACATTATATTATATTAAATTTTACCTAGTAACTCTACCACTGCCGCCCGCCTCTTTTATTCCACCAGAATTTGTAGCACATTATAAAAATTTTGATTACAAATTTTATACACAGAGTATACCATATAAACTAATTATGGGACGCTTGGTAATATGAAAACATAGACAATCGATTGAATTTATTTAAAAAGAAGAGATTGAGATAGGGAATAGTTGTTCAGGATTTTATCTTGGCATTTCAGAATAGTACATCCATCTTCTCCTATGTGGAGTACGTTGCGTGTAAGTGAATGATATGATGTGACTACTCTTTAAGTTTTTATAGTTGTCATCATCGACTATGAGTTTATATTTGGCGGTTAATGTCCGTACAATGTAAATGGTTCCAGGTTTGAACGCCCTAGGTATCCTACAAGGTTTATTTACCTTGGATTATGTTCCCTCACCCTCACTATATATCCAACCTATAAACCACCTTTTCCTTCTTCTTCCTCCCTCATCTTATTATTATTTTGTAACGGGGTCACGGGGGTAGTTGGTTGCCTCGGTTTGCACAAACCAAAATTTGAGATCTATTTAACAAGTCAAGAGTTTAATGTTTTAGGTAATTAATAACTTTAAAATAATTTCAATTCAAAAAATTAATAAGGAGAACACCATCGACCAACTCCTTAGATTATTATAAACTTTTTTATTGTTACCTTTTAGTAACACATCTATCCTTAAATCATTAGGATTTAATTATAGTAATACTATATATTTTATTGATTATATATATTACTTAAAAAGGAGAGAAACAAACGCAACTCTAGTTATTTATTTGCAGATTGAAATTGAATGACAAATTAACTCCTCAAAACAAGATTACTGGTAGAGAGCTATACAATACATACATCTTATTTAGCGGTACTGGTCCCGTCCACTTCTCTGTGCACTCCACCACAGCATCGATTTAAACGTGTCCGGCAATTTTAACTGGCCGTGTCAGATCAAGGAGTTGACCGAGCCAGCAAGCCACCACAGCACGACATAAACATGCTTGTTCATCCTTTCAAGCCGCGTTCAATAAGGTGACTTCGTCCTATTCTTTAAAAAAAAAAAAAAAAAAAAAAAAAAGAAAGCCGTGTTTGGCTATGTCAACTGACATTTATAGTTTCTTAGAGTTTTTTTTTTTTTTTAACTAATAAACTGTATAATTCAATTTGACAAATATATAATGAAAGAAAGGTCAGTAGTCGATGAAATCTGAGCAAACATTCCTAATGGGTCCTATGTTTTAAGTCTCATCGGTAATCGGCAGCAGCTGTGGCTGTGATGATTGCTGATAAAAGATACATAGTACAAAACATTCCAATAATCTAAGTTCACAGACTTCGATCCCTTCGCCTCCCATTCAAACAACGAAACTTCATGGACAGTTTATTGTTCTGTCATTAACTCATTATCGTGTAGTTTGGATCAATGGGCAAAGTTGTAAAAGATGAACATGATCAAACACAGACCAGAGTCGAGCCAACTAACTTCCTTAAGACCCTCGTCAGTGTTAAACTGTATTCTTATATGAAAATGAAAGCTGAATTTAATTCCTTTGTATTGGCACAGAGCTATATGGTAAAAAAAAAGGTCGCTTTTACTTTGAGAATTTGATTTTTCACCCCCCATACCCATACCCATACGCATTCGTACTGTTTTTTTTTTTTTTTTTCGATGATTTACGTCTTTCTAAACGAACACGACTCAAAGAATCTGACACAAATAAAAGTCAAAAAAGAAAAAAAAGGGTAAAATGACTACTCGTGGTCAAAATTAATAATTTTTACCTTTGAAATGACGTTGGAGCATCATCAATTTCACCAAACCTAACGAGAAGTTAAGACTTAAGGCCACCCGATTGACTTTGGGTTTTATAAACCTTGCATGAGTTAGCATCAGGGTTTTGGTTGTTAAAAGATAGATATAAACAAACGTGTACGTGAAGTTCTTAGCTCTCCGTTGTATATTTAACGAACAAAAGATCTCCAACTATATTAGAATAGATGAGCTTTGACAATCTTAAAAAAATATACTTAAGACTGGTAAGATTACCATTTTCATAACATATGATTTCCTTTTTCCAAACTAAAATTTTCTCAAAAAGCGAACTCATTTAAGTTAATTTTCCATTGACTGTCTCGCGTTGGAAAAACGCAATTTTCCTGTGTTATCGAAAAAGCATTAGTACTGACCTCCTCTTGTTATTTATATAGATTATAAGGAAGAATTGCAATATAGGCTTTTATATAATCCTCTATTGAACACTTTATAACTACAAATGATTAGGTAAATCATTATATAATTATGGTAAATGACTCCAAGATTTGAACCCAAGAACTCAAAGAATGAAACAGATCTTTTTAACTGTCAGACCAATCTCTTAGGGTTAACCTCAATAATTTTCTCACACCCAAAAGGAGATAATTACACCGAGAGAATTTCTGTCTCAAATTTTCCAGCACAAAGCTTTCTAATTCTCTCTAATTTTGGATACTCTTCTCTTTCTCTTTAAAATGCTTAAAACCATAACAAAGACCCTATATATAACCCTCAAGAGGGAACCATAGTGCAATTTGTACAACTTATATCCAGCTTTATCACTGTCCTGTCCAAGGCAAACGTCAGCTTAAGCAGACACAAAACAAATAATGTTTGGAAATATTTATCAATATCTTTACCCAGCTTTTCCCCATCAGTCTTCATACGTGGTTCACTCCCATTGGCATAATAGATCTCGTATCCTCCCAACCTTTACCAACATACGGGACCACCTTAGTTTCTTTGTCTTCATTATTATCCTTCTTTAAAACAAGTAGAAACATTTCTGTGGTGAATTTGTTAAAATATATATATTTAAAAAAAAAAATTATTGTATTGGAAATTGTATATATCCCTAGTTAAGAAACAGAAATACGTATACTGTGAGTATTGCGGTCGTGTCAGTCGATAATTTTTGACAAGACAGGGCGAAGAAAGTTGTAATGCTCTCTATCAATGTGGGTCCGGGTGGCTTTGACTTGACGTGTCAAGGAGATAGGATGACTGCTGTCTTGAGATGTGCGAGGTGGTACATCACTGTAATCATGATCGACGGTCAAGGACTAAGGAGTTGTCAATTGGGGTGTGTGATTTCGATGACGTGATTGGATTCTTCAAATTTTACGAAATCATAAGTTCCCAAGGTCTTTGGATGCACGTGTCATGGTGATATTTTTTGGATGAATTACGAGAACAATCTGACGGTGAATGAGTGAAGAGGATTAAGTCTGGACTACACAGTTGTAGTTCCTATCTGTAGCCGGGGTAAAATGGCGTGTCCCACGCCATTATCAGTGCGTGGAACCTGCTTTGTTGCTGAGATAAGATATATGATAAGATAAAGATGCCTTGGACGGATATTAATTGGTTGAGAGTGGGCCACTAACCATTTCAGTCAAGTTTTTTTTAACTGTATACTGTTAATATTTTAGTGGACATAATATATAGAAGAGTTAATTACAAGATTTTAATATTTTANTCGTGTCAGTCGATAATTTTTGACAAGACAGGGCGAAGAAAGTTGTAATGCTCTCTATCAATGTGGGTCCGGGTGGCTTTGACTTGACGTGTCAAGGAGATAGGATGACTGCTGTCTTGAGATGTGCGAGGTGTTACATCACTGTAATCATAATCGACGGTCAAGGACTAAGGAGTTGTCAATTGGGGTGTGTGATTTCGATGACGTGATTGGATTCTACAAATTTTACGAAATCATATGTTCCCAAGGTCTTTGGATGCACGTGTCATGGTGATATTTTTTTGGATGAATTTCGAGAACAATCTGACGGTGAATGAGTGAAGAGGATTAAGTCTGGACTACACAGTTGTAGTTCCTATGTGTAGCCGGGGTAAAATGGCGTGTCCCACGGCATTATCAGCGCGTGGAACCTGCTTTGTTGCTGAGATAAGATATATTAATTGCGGAAACCAGCCAATGATAAGATAAAGATGCCTTGGACGGATATTAATTGGTTGAGAGTGGGCCACTAACCATTTCAGTCAAGTTTTTTTTAACTGTATACTGTTAATATTTTAGTGGACATAATATATAGAAGAGTTAATTACAAGATTTTAATATTTTATTGTCTATAAAACAGACCGTTAGCTTAACACCAATACTCTAATTCCTTTAACTTCCGTTAAGTTTCGTTAGTGTTATTTGGGAGAACGACATTTTTTCACCCAAGGTTTGACGAAATGACACTTTTTTACCATTCGTTAGATTCTGTTAGTGTTTTATATTAATATTTGATTGAAAAGACGAAAATAACCTTAAATAATTTATGTCTTAATTAGTTTATTATAAATTAAAATTTAGTTAAGTAAAAGTCTTTATTAGTCTCAATGTAAAGATACATTTTTTTCTTTATTTATTTAATTAATTAGAAATATTGATTTTCTATGTTAATTAGTAAAAATGAAAAACATTATAAATTTAGTATATTATTAAATAATAGTGATGAGATATTGATGACATTATAAATAAAAAAATAAATATTAAGGTCATTCAACTTTAAATAATTCTATAACATTACTCCTAATTTTTTAGGTGGGGTTAACTATTTTTTCTTTTTTTCTTTTTTGACTTTTTAATATTTGATTTTTTGGCTAATTAAAAAATAATAAAAAGT